TGGTTCACCTTCACCCCGCTGGTTCAGGAGAACTGAGAGAAACAGGCGTCAATCCGGCAGCCAATAGGAAGGCGCGTAACACCGACGTCGTCCTGAGATAGCCAATCAGAGCACAGTAATGGAAATAATACATTATATATAGTTTTCATATTTATTTACTTTTATTTATGTAATATAAAAGTCAGATTTATTTGTTTGAGTGTTTGTTTTGTAACCCCATTTGCTGTATAATCATTTAGAGTACAACATAAACACATAAAAAAAGAGGTAGATGAGAAATGGAGTAATAAAAACACAAACAAACAAACAAACAAAGATCTTAAACTAAACTAAAATAATCATATCAAAGACAGTAACAGGTAATACAGTAGGCTATATAAAGGTAATGGTAATAAGAGCACAGAGCCCATCTGTCTGGTAATTTTATTTATGGACCTAATTGACAACTAATTAAGCCCAATTAGTTTTAAACATGACACTTATTAAAGGTAATCTGTGATAAAAATGCCTTTCTGATGAGAATTAATGCTCATGTAACTGCTGATGAAGATGAAGATGACTGCCAGAACCCATAAAAGTCTTCGGGTTTCTGGGTTCAGCAGTTTCCCAGGACCCAACGTTGACTCCATCATCAGAAAGGCCCAGCAGAGGATGTTCTTCCTGCGCCAGCTCAGGAAGCTCAACCTGCCTCAGGAGCTTCTGGATCGGCCACCAAACAGGACAGGAACACACTGAGATGGACGAGTCAGGGCTGATACAATCATTGGTGCCAACCTGCGCTCTATTCAGGACTTATGCATGTCCAGAGTCAGGAAGCAGGCAGGAAACATCACTGCAGATCATCACACCCTGGAAAAAATCTGTTCCAACTTGTCTCATGTAGGTGCTGCAGAGCGCTGTACAACAAAACAACCGAACACAAGACCAGTTTGATTCCAGAGGCCATCACTCAGATTAAAAGTTCAATCAGTGAAAAACCTGCATGCTGTATATGGACATGTATATATACTGATAACATGTACATACATAACTATCCACTTTGTGTATTTATTTCCACTATTGTCCAGAAATTACAGATCACTTGACTTGTATATAGACGCAGTATGTTGTTGGTCATTGTTTCTCATATATATATATTTGTATGTTCAAGGTAAACTTATATATAACACAAATGTACCCTAAATGTATGTAACTGAGAGTGCAGTATATGAAAGATATCATCACAATCCAGTAGGTCTATCTCATATAAAGCTATAAACATGAGTGATACGCAGTGAGTGGTTCAGATAAGGTGTGAGGAGTGCGGTTCTGATGAGTATCTGACAGTAGCAGCGTGTAAAAGCAGAAGCTCTCGTCTGCCACAAGAGGTCAGTGTGACCACGCAGAGGAACACACCAACGTGTAGAGTCAGAATGACTCTCGAAAAGGCAAATTTCACCCTGATTTTACAGCTTACTAAAGGAGACTGTGTTCGAGGTCACGGCTCCTAGACTTTGCAGTCCTGAAAAACCCTTGTTTAAACTTCCCTTTATGTAAGTTGTAACTTTGTGTAACATTTTGTTTATTCTTATTTTAATTTATTTCTATTTTATTCTTCTCAAGTCTTCATTTCTGTTTGTATTCATGTTGGCGGCTGTGTTTCTTTTGTGAAGCACTTTGAAAAGGTGCTGTAGAAATAGTTGAGAGTGGATCTGGAAGCATTCACTGCCTCTGTTCCTCTACACACCAAATACTTCATTATTATTCTTCCACCACAGTTCAGGCACTCAACTTCTTACACGTTTTTCATATAGAAACTGAATTCAAACATCAAAATATTCAGTTAAATTAGGACATTCCAACTTCTATTCAGATTTTTGATAACTTTCATACTTCAATATTCAGTATCTTCTCATTCATACTTTCAGCTAGAAACTTTGACATTTTAGGTATCATTCAACTTTCAAATCCTATTAAAACATTTCAAAATGTTCACTTTTCTTTGAAGTGTAAGTTTATATTAACAGTGTTGAAGCTAAAAGACCAAGACTGGTGAATAGTGGAACTGGCAGATTTTAAGGATGCTGACTTATTTCTTTTGTTTGTTGTTATTTTTATTTGACGTTAATATGTTTATTCTTTCAATTTTTCATTTATTTATATGAAACAAAGCACAGTTTTTCTTTATGAATAATATTCTGTACATTTTTATGTTGTTGTAGGAATGTTGTACTTTGTATATGATGAAAATGAATGAAAACTCAAATGAGCTGATGGAAGTCCCACATCCCCCACTCATTCATACACTGACATAGAAACTCCATTCAACATTTGGGACTTTTTCACATTACTTTTTCGTATCTTTCATACTTTTTAAATAAACACAGATATAAATTTGTGCAACTTTCAGCCCTTCTGAGGGTTTTGTATTAGTGCTTATGGGGCGTAATGTTCACAGTCCTCTCAGAGTGAAGAAGAGCTGTGAAATCTTCTCACTCACTGAGCTTCAAAGCGAGCACCATTTCAAAAATTTCAAACCATTTTCCAACTACAATACTCCATCGGCTTCTAAATTCAGTTTAATATCAGCCGTTTAACATCCAGCATTCACTTGCTTTATGAAATACTCATTCTTTGATTTTTAGTTGTTTATGTCAGTGTTGGGCTAGTTACTCAAAAAATGTAATATATAACTTTTATTACTTTTCTGCTAATGGTGTCCCTTCTCCCCAAAATTCGGATTTCCGACAATTTAAAATCCAGTTTTGTTTGTTAGAATCAAACTAATGGAATATTTCGAGCCACTGAATGTTTTCATCTTCTGAACTAGTTTCCTCCACGATTACAAAATCCAAGGATGTGACAACATTAATATTGTAACTAAGTGTTTTTTGGAGGAGAAACTGTAATATTATTACTGAATGTTATCAGTAATTAGTTACTCTGCTACTTACTAGGGAAAGTAATAGTATTACTTTACTTGTCACTCCCTGCCAACAGTAATTAGTTACACTGCTAGTAATATCACTTCTCTTCTCCCCATAATTCAGAATTACGATGATTTAAATCCAGTTTTGTTTGTTAAAATCAAACTAAAGGAATATTTCGAGCCACTGAAGGTTTCCATCTTCCAAACTGGTTTCCTGCACCATTACAAAAAGTAATCCAAGGATGTGACAACAAAAGTAATATTGTAACTAATTATTTTTAATATTTTTGTAATAATATTACTGAATTGTATTAGTAATTAGTTACATTACTAGTTACTGGGGAAAGTAATATTATTACTGTAATGTTATTACAGTGTTTATGTCACACTGGGCCATTTACAATAAAGCCAGTTATTAAAAAACGACAGTTCATTAGATTTTTTATTATGAGTTTGAGTTATTTCTGATTTTTTAGAGTCTGTGTGTATAAAATAAAGTTTTAGATAGATAGATAGACTTTATTGATCCCCGAAGGGAAATTGGGTTGTCATAGCAGCCAGGTACATTAAAATAGAATAAAATACAATAGAATGAAATACAACAATAGAATAAAATACTTAGATAGAAAAGATAAAAAAAGATAAATAGGTAGGTAAGGTGCAAAGAGTTGTAGTTGCAAGATGGTGATAATAGTACTGATTTAACTTAAGTTTAAGTAATTTCTGATTATTTAGTGTCTGTGTGTGTATAAAATAAAATGTAAGTTTTAACTTAAGTTTAAGTAATTTCTGATTATTTAGTGTCTGTGTGTATAAGACAGACGACCACCCACCTAGAGCCGAAGGATCTGTCCTAGGTTTCTGCCTTTTAACAGGCAGTGTTTCCTTGCCCTTGTCTCCAAGTGCTTGCTCATGGTGGTACTGTTGGGTCTCTGTAATTAATGTTTTAAAGAGTTCGTTCTAGACCTGCTCTATTTGAAAAGTGTCCTGAGATAACTGCTGTTATGAATTGGCGCTATACAAATAAAATTGAATTGAATTGAATAAAATAAAATGTAAGTTTTAACTTAAGTTTAAGAATTTCTGATTATTTAGTGTCTGTGTGTGTATAAAATAAAAATGTAAGTTTTAACTTGAGTTAAAGTAATTTCTGATCATTTAGTGTCTGTGTGTGTATAAAATAAAAATGTAAGTTTTAACTTGAGTTAAAGTAATTTCTGATTATTTAGTGTCTGTGTGTGTATATAAAATAAAATGTAAATTTTAACTTAAGTTTAAGTAATTTCTGATTATTTAGTGTGTGTGTGTGTATAAAATAAAATGTAAATTTTAACTTGAGTTAAAGTAATTTCTGATTATTTAGTGTCTGTGTGTGTATATAAAATAAAATGTAAATTTTAACTTAATTTTAAGTAATTTCTGATTATTTAGTGTCTGTGTGTGTATAAAATAAAAATGTAAGTTTTAACTTAAGTTAAAGTAATTTCTGATTATTTAGTGTCTGTGTGTGTATATAAAATAAAATGTAAATTTTAAGTTAAAGTAATTTCTGATTATTTAGTGTGTGTGTGTGTATAAAATAAAATGTAAATTTTAACTTAAGTTAAAGTAATTTCTGATTATTTAGTGTCTGTGTGTGTATAAAATAAAATGTAAATTTTAAGTTAAAGTAATTTCTGATTATTTAGTGTGTGTGTGTATAAAAAAAAGTAAATTTTAACTTAATAATCTGATTATTTAGTGTGTGTGTAAAAAAAAAAAATTTAACAGGTAAATAATTTATTATTTTTGTGTGTGTATAAAATAAAATGTAAATTTTAACTTGAGTTAAAGTAATTTCTGATTATTTAGTGTGTGTGTGTGTATAAAATAAAAATGTAAATTTTAACTTAAGTTAAAGTAATTTCTGATTATTTAGTGTGTGTGTATATTCATGTTGCCCCTCATCAGAGGTCAAACTGGAGCAGACACAAGAGGGAGGGAGCTTGAGCCAGATTGACAGCTCCACCCAGCCTATGACACGCCGTGACGACAGCGCCCGCTCGGCCAATCAGCGACCGAGTGGGCGGGTACATAGTCCAAATTTTACGCGGCGCGCGGCGGGCCGAAGCACCGAGAATGAATATCCCGGTCTCAACCGGTTCCAACCGGTCCGCGGCTGGAAGCATGAGCTTAGAGGAAGAGCACACTGGCACGCATTAAAACACCTCCTGCTCTCTAACAGTGTGCGCGAATAGCATCAGAAATAAAAAGGAGACTCTCTCTCACTTTCGCGGTTATGACCCGGAATACCGCTCCCGTGCTGTTAGCTTAGCTTAGCTTTACGTTAGCCGGCAGACTTGAATCATCATTGACTTTTCCCATTTAGCGAGCTAAGTTGCTATTAGCCTGGTGGGAGTCGGCTGCGGTGGTTGGTAGCTGAAGAAAGATATGTTTCAGGCTGGTTGGAGGCGGGAGAAACTATAAGCTGTGCTCAAAGGTTCTTTATTTTTTATTATTTTAAACACATCGCCAAGAATCGATAAGTATCCGACGTGTTTTTTTTAAAATTAGCGCTGTTAGCTTAGTGTCATCCAGGAAAGCTAACGTTAGCTTTTCGGGGCTAACGAAGGTTAGGAGCTGTGTAAAGGTGTGTGCCATGAGATAACACTGCCCCGGTGCTTTCACATCGATAGTCCCCGGTCTTCATCTACCGAGTCACTACCAGCTCAACCGGCGCTTGTTTTTGTTTTGTTTTTTCCCCCCACGAGCAGGAGCGGACACACCAGGTGAGTTAAGCCCAACTCCACTCACCCATCGTGGGCTAACGTTAGCATCAGTTTCAAAAAGTAATGTGTTTTTTTTTGTCTTTGGATTGAGGGGGGGGTTGGTGGTTGGTGGAGAGGGGGGGGGTTAACTAACGGTTACACAGACCGGAGCACAGCGCGTTGCAGCCGGGCGGAGGTCTGCTGGCTCCTCGGGTATCTGTACCGCGGTTTAGTTGCTCTGGATAGCCGCTAACGGGTCTATGTGTCGGGCTGTGGTGAGTGCAGCTGTCCGCCCCCCCTGCTCGCCAGGTGGGGGCGTTGTTTCGTGTTCTTACTACTTTTATGATTGGTTTTCAGTGGGTGTCATAATTGGACCACGAGGGGCTGACTGAAGTTGTCTTGACACATTTTTTTTGGCTCAACATGAATAACTTGTGTCTGTTTACCTGCTTACACAACGTGAGAGGAAATCTGACTAACTCTAAATACCTTAAAGTCACTTTCTGTGTTTTGGACCACCTGTCGTTTATTTGTGTGGTTTTGTGGAATAGAGATACACAGAAGTGAGCAGACAGGTCACCAGGGTGCAATGCATTACAGTAAACATGTTATTAACTGTCCAATAAGGTTATTGATAAAGTTAATCTTAATCTGAGGTAGAGAGACGGGTATGCAAAGACATTTTAAATCATCAGAGTCCTTGTTGGGGAATGGAGAAACAGCAAATTCACACAGGAATACGATTTTAAGGGAATACTACATATGATAATACTATTAAGGAGGAGAGTGGGAAATAAGAGAAACAAAACGAGCACAAAGAAAGAGGAGAAATGGGGTTTTACATCTTAATTTTCTCTATCTTTCTAAGGAATATCTATATTAATGTGTATACGCCATTTGGGCTGATCATTTTAGAGAAAGTTCAGTTTGTCTAGTTCATACATTTACTTTATTATCACTATCATGCTCCTTTTGTTGGTGGGTCCTTTTTAGGGTTAAATGTAGTTGGAATATTAGCGAAATATATGGTGCCAAAAAAGAATAAAAAATCTTAAAACCCATTATTGATTTTATTTACTAGTAAAGTGATTAGCCATTGAATTGTTACATCGCCCCCTGGGTCTGGTCTACAGAGCTGATGGTATTTTATATATATTAATCTACTCTTTTGGCCCACCTTTTTCTAAATATTGACGCACCAATTATTATTTGATGTCCCTAGTTTGTCTTTTAGTATTTAGTGAAATATGTAAGTACACATTAGTTCCTAAGTTCCTCCTACTGTAATCTCTAGCTGTAGATGTGTATATTACTGGTATGTTTCAGTAGTTTGCTGCTGTGGTTGAAGTTTAAATCCCTTCCCCCTCCCCTCAGAATCTCTATGCCAGCAGAAATGACGATGTTGGCCGATCACCCAGCCAGACAGCTGCTGGACTTCAGTCAGAAACTGGACATCAACCTGTTGGACAATGTCGTCAACTCCATGTACCACGACATTGGATCCCAGGTGAGGATTAGTCCTTTCCACTTTATGTGGCTGGGTGGGATTCACATGTAGTCAGTGCAAAGCTGCAGCATTTGATTATAAACAAGGCCCTCACTGGTTAAATGTATATTTGTTCAGTGATAAAAATGAATCTGTTGCTTAATAGCGTAACCATGCAGCTATTTGCTGAGGTCAGGTGAAATATGATGTGGAAGCTGAGGGGAAACACGCCTGTAGTTGCTCTTTAAAGCCTAAAGATCTGTGGCCAATATAAACGGTTTGCTGTGTTACTCTCTTGTAGCAACGAGTGGCCCAGGAAGTTCTCACCAACCTGAAGGACCATCCAGACGCCTGGATGAGGGTCGACACCATCCTGGAGTTCTCTCAGAACATGAAAACTAAAGTACGTAGCCGACTGCACGCTGATCTTGTAAAAGAGAGAAGCTATGAAGCCCATGGTAATAATGTGAGCTGATGTTTATCAGTTTATCCACAGCAGGCCGAGGCTTTCAGGGCAGCGAGGTCTGAGCGTTCACTCTGCTTTAGCTCCATTGTACTTATTGGATTTTCTCCAGCTAATGGAAGCTTACTGTGTTTAAATCAGTGGTTATCTGCTAAATTATTAGTTTTTTTCCCCATTGTTGCTGCGCCTTTTTTATGAGGAATTTGTTGTTGTGACGATATCATCAGTGGCCAGTGCTGTCAGAATAGGGTTGCAACAGTCTCAGACAGTATACTCTATTAAACAATTATTATTATCAGTTGCAACAACCCTTAAAGGAATGAAAGCAGAAAGGGTTTTTTTTGGTTGAACAAACACTGTATTATAATTTTACACAATATTATGTCCCGACAGACATGAAACTTTTTAACTGCAACTTGATTTTCTTAAAGTTGTTGAGTTTCTCCTCGTGTCTTTATTGGATGGTTTTCAATGCTTACGCTAACTATCCACAGTTCTTTCCTTTTTAGTAGCACCGTTGCTGCCAGTCGTGTTAAATGCTGTAAATACAACAGCAAATAGCTGCGTTATACAGGGTTGATTGTACTGTGTGTGCAGTGGAGATATTAAATCTCAACAACAAGAAGAATCCATGGCATAGAGGAACAGTGTTTCTGGGGCGGCTGTGGCTCAGAGGAAGAGCGGGTCGTTCCTTCATCGGAAGGTTGTGGGTTCGATCCCCGGCTCCTGGTGCCACATGTCGAAGTATCCTTGAGCAAGATACTGAACCCCAAATTGCTCCCGATGCCGTGCATCAGTGTGTGAATGTGTATGAATGAGTTAGTTTCTGTTCGATGGACTTTGCCATCACTGAGTGAATGTGTGTGAAAGGGTGAATGTGGCACGTAGTGTAAAAGCGCTTTGAGTGGTCGGAAGACTAGAAAGGCGCTATACAAGTACAGGTCCATTTACCATTTATTTGTAATGTCTGTAAAATGATGATTTTAGGGTGGAGACATCTTTCCAGGCAACAACATGGGCTGTAATTCCAGGAATTCCATTAATCACTCTAACGCACACGCACTGCTGCTTCCCAGTCGAGTATTAGTAGTATTATTTCATTTCATCCGTTTTTAGATGATGACAGACAGACTGTTGCTACAACCAGGCCCGTCAGCCTCTGGCATGAAAAAGCTTTTCACACTTTCTGCACAGGGAGGGAAAATGAGTGAAGGGTGACACACAGAAAATTGACCAGGAATCAATAAAGGCAATAGATGAAGAATTTGACAGATAAAAAGAATCAATAAGGGCATTGTTACCAATAAAATTGTATCAATTCCCGTTCCTGATGGTGCACACAGTTAGGCCTGTACTACGTTTAATGAAATGTGCTCACACATTCATTTTGGGCTGTATGATGTCACCAGGGAGACGTTACAATCCCACGTTGTTGTTGTTGTTTCCTCCTGTTTGTTGTTGATGAACTCTCGATGAGGAGAATGTGTCTGATCCTTTTTCGGAGCTCTAATACGTCTTTCTCAATTGTTCCCTCAGTATTACGCACTGCAGATTCTGGAGACAGTCATCAAAACACGCTGGAAGATTCTCCCAAGGAATCAGTGTGAAGGTCAGTCTCGTGACACTAAATGAACAGATTAGGAAGATGCTTCCCGTCTGAGCTGGGTTGCCTGTCAGGAAAACAATGGATATTCCATTTAAAAACTAAAAACTCTTGTGATGTATTTTCAGGTATCAAGAAATATGTTGTTGGGTTGATCATCAAGACTTCGTCTGATCCTGCAAACATGGAGGTGAAGTTGCGTTAATGTAAGATGTGGCACTTTGTAAGTGAGCGTTGTGCTGCTCAGTACTGAAGTGACTCTTATGATTCTTTTCAGAAGGAGGGAGTGTACATTTCAAAGCTCAACATGATCCTCGTACAGGTAAATAAACCTTTTGATGGTTTGACTCAAGAACAATGACTGACGTGATGTGATGAGGCTGGTGACGCAGAGCTCCTCCTCTCTGTACTGGTTTAGATCCTGAAGCAGGAATGGCCCAAACACTGGCCCACCTTCATCAGCGACATCGTGGGTGCGAGTCGGACGAGCGAGAGCCTCTGTCAGAACAACATGATCATCCTCAAACTGCTCAGCGAGGAGGTTTTTGACTTCTCCAGTGGCCAGATGACCCAGGTGAAGGCCAAGCACCTCAAAGACAGGTAGGTGGAGAGAGAGATGATGTGAAGAGTATCTGCATCAACTAACATTAGTTTGGATCCGAACTGACGTGTTAAAACGCCAAAGTCACACAATAACACAAACAAACCAGCAACTCCGGTGTTCTATGAAGTAAAATTGGCATTTTTTTCAATGGTGTCTGGTTGATTTGTAGAGAGCATGTAACTGCTTCAGTTTCCCATCTGACAGCGAGGTCAAACAGTTAAAATATTCTAAAAAACCTATATCACTATCCTTTAAATACATCTTGTTAACTCACACATAATCAGCAATTCTGCTTGATCAGAACCTAAAACTAACTAAAACTTGTTGCCAGTTAAAGACATGACTGTCTCTAATGACCTCCACTCTGTCTTTCAGCATGTGCAACGAGTTCTCCCAAATATTCCAGCTGTGCCAGTTTGTGATGGTAAGACGAGGTTGACATCAGACCAAACAGCTCTCCGCCCCCCTGTCTCTGATGTTTAACAGATACCACAATCTATTCTCATATGTACCTCCTCCTTCCTGTGTAGGAAAACTCCCAGAATGCCCCGCTGGTCCATGCCACGCTGGAGACTCTCCTTCGCTTCCTGAACTGGATTCCTTTAGGTTACATCTTCGAGACCAAGCTCATCAGCACTCTGGTCTACAAGGTAAACCGGCTAACGTTGATTCCACCAATCAGAACTGCAGCCAAACATTTACACAGAATCAGATCAACTTTATTGTCCTTCAGAAGGTGATAGAAATAGTACAAACACACAATACGCTAGTAAGCACTACATTTATAAACCCAAGAGAAATACGGTGGTGCAATGGTGGTTTCATTTCAAACAGAACATGATGAAACTCTATTAAAACATTTGTTCCCTTGGAAATGCCCAACGTTTTTAAAAGGAGTAGAAAGAAGTAATTTAAGGCTAATGAGTTTGAAGTAACATTAAAACAAATCTGCTTTGGTGCACAATAAACCAAATGCATGTTCTGTATACATTATGTTCTGTTAGTGAACAGTGCTGATGAACGTTCACCAAGGAGACGCATTACTGTACATGTCTGTAAAGCACAGAGTACTGGAATATGAGAAACTTTAAATTAAATCAGAGCTGAAACAATGAGTCACCTAAAGGTTTAATTGATCATCATTTTTCAAGCTGAAGCATTCACTGGTGTCTGCTTCTCGTACGTAAGGATTAACTGCTTATCTCTCTTCTATATCATCATGAACCAAATATCTTTGGGGTTTGACAAACCAAGCTATTTTCTCATTTTGTTCAACGTATTAATTGATAATAAAGTTCTCTTTCGTTGCAGCTTTAATTCAGTCTGTATTTTGTCACACACATCTGCCACTGAGCCACTGTCAGCTTTGTGAGCAGCCTGCAGTCAGGACTGAGAACTAGTGAGAAGATGGATGTACAGCTGGGACAGTTACACCGGCACCGACCTGACTATTGAGCTTTTTTGTGTGTCTGTGTGTGTTTCAGTTCTTGAACGTGCCCATGTTTCGCAATGTGACGCTGAAATGTTTGACGGAGATCGCCGGAGTGAGCGTCAACCAGTACGAGGAGCAGTTTGTCAACCTGTTTACCCTAACCATGTGCCAGCTCAAACAGGTACACACACACACACACACACACACAGACAATCATTGTGAGTGGTACTCCAGTTAATTGCACTCAGTATGATTACACACAAGCATACTAACATGTGCCCACTCTGTTATTACACACAAACACACACACACACACACAACACACACACACACACTTTGTGCAAACCCCTTCCTGCCACACAACTTCCTATCTCACACACACAAACATTCAGTACATAAAGTCTGCAGGCTGCACAAACTCTGAGTTGCCCTCAGTTTGTTTTTGCTTGCACACACACACACACACACAACACACACACACACACACACACACACACACACACACACACACACACACACACACACACACACACTACATTGTCAGTGTAAGCAGTTTTCTGTTTGTTCACTGTTATTACAAGTAGACACAAATAACACATCTGTGGGCAGAGGGAACATGTGATTACAACAGTGCTGATGGGACAACATAGTTGAAAGCCGATGGTGGAAATTCCAAAACCAAATATCTCTGAGTTAATCAAAAGTTAATTAGTATTTTGTTTTTGAACTTTGTTTGTTCAGAGAATCCCACATTCACAGCGAGGTTTTTGTTCCATTGAGCTCTCTGAGGCTACAATCACTCTACCTTCCATTCAGGCAGCAAAGAAAGAAAGTGATGCACTTCAGCTTACTATATATACAGAATGAACTGACACAGGTGTGGTTGCTCACACCCTCAACACATCTACAGAGAGCATGCTTATACAGACTGTCTGAGGCTGAGAAGATGACAGGCCACACAAAGAAATACTTAAAGAAAAAAAAATGGTTTTCTGAATAAAACATATAATAAACATCATGTTTTTACTAGACAGTGTACAGACAACCACAATATCATTCAGTGCCCATGTAATTTTACTTATAAAAGACAAGACAAAAACAAGATGACAAAGTGGATAAAAGCAGAATTGATATTGATAAAATCCAGAAAGAAACGAGATGCTTTGAACTGATTTGGGAAAATGCAGTTTAAAAGTCGACAATAACAGCAAAAATTCAGCTTCAGTTTCTGTTCAGTGTAACATTACGTACCAGTTTCATTTTACTGAATGGGACTTGGGAATGGTGTGTTTACCATCAGCAGGTCCACACACACACACACACTCACTCACACTCTTTATGAGGTGTAAACGGCTCCCCCTGCCTGCAGATGTTGTCTTTTTTTTCCAGTTGTGACCCCTCAGAGTCTCCTTGCGACCCCCCCTTACAGGTTGCAGATGTGTATGAGCTGTGAGAAAGATTTTCTCCTCACACTCAGACGTTGAATAAAATTTGAATAGTTAGTCAATAGAAAAGGTGCAACGATCCAATATTTCTCATTAATCTTATCCCAAACCTCTCAGATTGACCTTGTGACCCATTAGAAGGACCTCAACCACCACATTAATAAATGTACATCTTCTTCCAACAACAAGCATTATTTTAAATTAGAATTTTTTTTTTCTTGAAAAGTTGAAATAGTTTGGAAACAAAAGAAATCAGAACTCAAGGTTCACTTACCAGCCTTTTCTTAAACATTTAGCCCCATGTCATGGTCTTCCTCACCAGATACTGTTTGCGGGGTTCCTCATCTTGGGTGGTCTCATGGCTCGGTGGCTTAAGACTAAACCTATTTACAGTAAATGCAATTTCCTTAAACAAAACACACTATGGATGCAATTATGGCAAAACAATTGAGACCAAATAAAGTTTGAGCATAAATAAATAAAAGGCCGGTTTGTGAAGTCATGTTTTGTCGTCTGGTCAGATGCTGCCTTTGAACACTAACATCAGACTGGCCTACGCCAACGGGAAGGACGACGAGCAGAACTTCATCCAGAACCTCAGCCTGTTCCTCTGCACCTTCCTCAAAGAACACGGCCAGCTCATCGAGAAGAGACCCAACCTGCGAGAGACTCTGATGGAGGTAAGAGGACGAGACGGGACACTGTTCAGTCAGACGAACTGGAGCTTTGTTTATCCTGTGGAAAGGTGAGCTAAAATTGATTGCTGGGGTCTGGTCAAGTAAACAGATTCTCAGAACTCTCGGCTGGTGGCTTTTAGTCATTTCCACCTCTGCTTCAGGCTTGTTGGAAATAAAACTCCCCCTCGTATCCGGCCACTGCTTTTCTTCCGCCTCTCCTGTTTGCCCTTGCACGCAGTGTCCTGATTACACCTTTTGCAATGACATTTGGGACCAATTACAAGGGGGAAGGGCCACCTTTCCTTTGGCTCTGTGTCCTCTTGTATAAGAGATAATTGTTCCAGGAGGAGACTGAGATGTTGATAGCAGAACAGAAGAAGGCAGCAAAAAGTCCATGTAGCAGATTTTTCAAGAAAAGACTGTTCAGTTGGTGTTTCTGCTGTAGTTTGGCTGAGAGATACACGGGGAGAGTACGAATAATCCCAGATGGAAATTGAAGCCAAGTCACAAAAATAAAAGCGTAAGGACACGACAGATGGACGTGGAGACTCAAGTGTTTAATATTAAATAAATGAATAAGACCTTTTCCATATTAATCATATGAATAAATACAAATATGTACTATAACAATATTTATTTCTGCTCATTTCGACCTTTGGAAAACAGACATATTACTACTACTACAGGATGGGTAAGAGGTAAAATACAATAAACTCCATAAATGATAAACAAAATTTTTTATTAGTTAGTCCTTTATGTGTGCAACCCAGATATTTAGTCGATATTTTGCACAGTGTAAAAGTTCTTCCATTACATAAAACCAGGAGAAACAAGACCCCAACAAATCAGGGATTTAAAATTATTATTCCTCTTTCTAGCAGAATAAGGAAATAGCGTTAATTCTCCTAACTTTATCCAAAAGGAGACATTTTACCGTGATGCAACATGTGATGTAATACCTGCCATAACCTGGAGCCGTATAGAAGGACTAGAGTGCGTTAGTACTGTCATGTGACCTCACCGCACTTTTTCCCGCCCTCAGGCCCTGCACTACATGCTGCTGGTGTCGGAGGTGGAAGAGACGGAGATCTTTAAGATCTGTCTGGAGTACTGGAACCACCTGGCGGCAGAGCTCTACAGGGAGAGTCCCTTCTCCACCTCCAGCACCCCACTGCTGTCTGACGTCCCGCCTCGCAGACACCTCTACCTGCCTGTGCTCTCCCAGGTACGGCTGGCACCCAGCACACACTCAGATGTTAATGTTTTCTTTTTTCCCCCCAAGTTAATGATCCAAATATATTAAGATACTATCACATAAGACAAGAAATAATCTTATTTTAGAAGCTAAAGGCAGAGAATATTTGGCATATTTGATTTAAGAATTACTTTAACGTCAATTTAATTTGATTATCAAAATAATAAGCCAATTATTTTTCTGTCTGAAGACACAGACTCTCACATTAACCTTATTCTTCCTCCTTGTCTTCCTCCTCTTCTTCTTGTAGGTGCGTTTGCTCATGGTCAGCCGCATGGCCAAACCAGAGGAGGTGCTGGTGGTGGAGAACGACCAGGGCGAAGTGGTCAGGGAGTTCATGAAGGACACAGACGCCATTAACCTTTACAAGAACATGAGAGAGACTCTGGGTAAGATAAAACGTGTCTGTTGTGATAAATACATGCTTCTGTTTCACATACACAAATGAAATACCAGTTCTCTCTTTAAATGTGAAATTGGAAATGTTCCTTATTTAGTTTCCTGGTAGTGTAAATGTATTTTTGGACTTTCTACTCATTATTGTCATTGGAAGTCTAGTTTGCTTTGTCCTTCATTGACTCATACATGTCTATCAGACTGTAGTTGTTTACATTCTGTTCCAGTTATTTCAGTAACCCGATGGAAGGTTGTTTATTGTAAATTGTCAAGAAATCTGTAAAGAAACCCATTCAAATGATCTGGGGTCACACATTTTAGTTGTTGTTTTCCTGAGAGTAACACCTACCGTTGTAGGTAGGAATGTAGGTTTTATAATTCATATATATATTTATGGAAACCAAAAACTTATCGTGTCAACAAAGGAAAAGTGACCTGAGATGACCAGTAGCTGACTTTAAAGGGTCCCTGAGTCATCTGTCTCTGTCTGTGTCTGCAGTGTACCTAACCCATCTGGACTATGCCGACACTGAACGCATCATGACGGAGAAGCTCCACAACCAGGTGAACGGCACCGAGTGGTCGTGGAGGAACCTGAACATGCTCTGCTGGGCCATCGGCTCCATCAGCGGAGCGATGCACGAGGAGGACGAGAAGAGGTTCCTCGTCACCGTCATCAAGGTGGGACACTCAGTCCATATTACATTTATATTGGTATCAAGCAGCATCTGTCCACATGCAGAATTGAGTTAGGGGCCGATCACACAATATATATTATAAATATTGTATGTTTTTATTTTAGATTAGCTATCTGCTGGTTAACTGTTGGGCTGTGAGAGAGCTATGGAGCAGTGGGGGGGTTAAATCCAAGTGAACTCAGTTTATCCACCTCTTGGAATTGAGGCTGAGAGTTGGCTCATCATAAAGCTTGACATCAGCTTGGATCAGTTTTTTCTGTTAATCACATTTGATCGCCCAGTTGCACTCACTGCCTCACTCCACAGATGCACCAGCTGTTTTGCCTGTAGCAATGTGTTTGGTGTGATCGCCCACTTAGTCCAACAATTTGCTTTTAAGTCCTAATTGGCTTCTCTGTGATCCTAGACCATTTCTCCCAACCAGTTATTGACACAACACTTCTGTGTGTGTTAAACTGTGAACCAGCATTAACTGATTGTGTGTGTGTTACGTACACAGGACCTGCTCGGCTTGTGTGAGCAGAAAAGAGGGAAGGACAACAAGGCCATCATAGCGTCCAACATCATGTACATTGTGGGCCAGTATCCTCGCTTCCTCCGAGCCCACTGGAAGTTCCTCAAGACTGTCGTCAACAAACTGTTTGAGTTCATGCACGGTGAGAAACAATCTGATATTTCCTACCACTGTTACTCTCCGTTACGGCTTATTGTGATTTTGTGGGATTCATCCTCCTCTTCGTCACACAGAGACTCATGACGGCGTGCAGGACATGGCATGTGACACCTTCATCAAGATCGCCCAGAAGTGCCGGCGTCATTTTGTCCAGGTTCAGGTCGGCGAGGTGATGCCCTTCATCGACGAGATCCTCAACAACATCAACACCATCATCTGTGACCTGCAGCCACAGCAGGTCAGTCCTGTCCCTGAACGCCCCGTCGGCATCGGCACAACTTTGATTCTATGACATCATTCATGGGTTTTAAAGCCCTTCTTTGTAAGACTATTCTGGGAAACGTTAGATTTGGTAATAAAATGTTTCTATGAAGCATATGTTGTTAACGCTGTGTGAAGGTCAGTCAGATAAACTCTGCCCCTCGTCTCTGCAGGTCCATACGTTTTATGAGGCTGTTGGCTACATGATTGGAGCTCAGAACGACCAGGCGGTTCAGGAGCTTCTGATAGAGAAGTACATGCTGCTGCCCAACCAGGTGTGGGACAGCATCATCCAGCAGGCCACCAAGGTGAGCACAGCAGCACAACTGATTGATTGTCGTTCCACTGACGTTTCCTTAATTCCCTCAAAAGTTTTCACTTTTGTTGAAAATCGCTATGTATGCTAAATTGTGGACTCCCTGCTGCAGAACGTGGACATCCTGAAGGATGCGGAGACGGTGCGTCAGCTGGGCAGCATCCTAAAGACAAACGTCAGGGCCTGTAAAGCTGTCGGTCATCCCTTTGTTGTCCAGCTGGGACGAATCTACCTGGACATGCTCAACGTCTACAAGTGCCTGAGTGAAAACATCTCCTCGGCTGTCCAGACCAACGGTTAGTAATGAAAGATATCTGAAACTGTCTTTGAAAACATGATTGGGGAGGTTCTTCTTGGGTCTAACAGCAGTGAAATAAAAGCTTGTGCTTATGAGTCACAGGAATGGAGAACAAAGTTCCTGTCACTGCTGCGACAACATAATTAAACCACCCCAAACCCTGTCAAGAGCCACAGCTTTTGTGAGCATATTTAAGACCACAGCTCTTTCTCAGCTCACCATGTAAAATATATACAGCTCAGTTCAATCATTTTGTTATCCCAGATGGGAAACTTGATATGCAGTCAGGGGCGCAAACATAAAAAACAAAATACAACAGAAGTACCAACAGAAATTTATTTAACTTACAAAGGAAGTACAAACGTTGCTGTCCCTTCTTACATCATAACTAACATCAGATTTCAATTATTACTATTATTATTATAGATGACTATCCTTGTTCTTTGTGGCTTTTAATTTGAAGAAAACCCTCATTTCACCATTTAATGAAGTCCTCTACCACCTACCTGTGATCAGATTCATCATTATGGAGCAGACTGATGATAACGTGTCATCAGCAAATTCCAGGATGTGCCTGTCCCCATGATGGCTTCTACCGTCACTGGTGTAAAGAATGTAAAGCAAAGGGGACAAGACAACAGGCCTGAGGAGAGCCAGGGGAAGAGGAGCACTGCTCTGACAGAAAGCCATTTCCTGTCACGTTGTGGGGAAAGATTTCATTATACATGAGCCATTTAAGTTTAAAGATTCATAATTTAGACTCCTGTGCCCTTAATAGATAGATTTACACAGCCGTTCAATAATTTAACATCATTCATACTTTTATTATTTAAGGAATGGTTGAATTAATGTGTGCTACGTTGCCTACATCAGTCTCTTGTGATTGTGTAACCTCATTTGGCTTCAAGATTGACACTTTAACATGAATTTAATAAATTGATTCAAGTTCATACCAAATATAAACTGTGCTGTTCTCCAGCCAGTATTAAAGACTTCAAACGAGGATTACAGCAGGGATCACATCATTTGAGAGCTCATTTTGTTTACTTGTGGGTTTTATTGTGTGTGTCTTTAACAGACGTCTTGCTCTTGTGGCCCACAACTTTACTGTTTTGGTTCCCTCTCACCCAAAACAACAGTTAATTACCGATTTAAATAACTGTCTTGAATCGTGTGTACAGGTGAGATGGTGACCAAGCAGCCTCTGATCAGGAGTATGAGGACGGTGAAGAGAGAGACCTTGAAGCTGATCTCAGGCTGGGTCAGTCGCTCCAACGACCCTCAGATGGTGAGCCTTTTATTATCCCCAGTGGATTCTTTAATCAAAAGTCTTTTTAAATGTTTTAATTTAAACCAAGTTTTATATTGACTTTTATTTTTAGCGGTGTCCCACACAAAGCATCCTCTGTATTAAATTCAGCAGTGATGCAGCAACACAGTGAAACCATTACCAAGGTTGCTACAACAAATGGAAAACTGTACTGTAATGATTCTGGACTCGTGCCCGGATCCTTCCCCAAAACATCAGTTATAATGTTTATAATTAAAGTACCTCGACCTCCACTGTAACTCTAACTGGGACCGAAACATCTAAACTATAAATGCCTCTCAAGCACTGCCAACATCATTTTGAGAAAATATTGGCGCCATATTAAAAATGGGTATAATTAATCATTATTTTTAACCCTTTTGTTTACAAACCAGTCTTAACTGTGTCTTATTGACAGGTACCAACTTGTAAAATGGGTTTTAACAAGGTTTTAATTGGACTAAATCAATCAATTTCTGACCATAGAAGATATTAGACTGATGAGGTGTTTTTCTGAGTCTACTTGTGATCAATACTAGTTAATGGTACAGTCATGGAAATTAGGCTGGAGGGTCTGACATGTTTGTGTGCTGTCCTCTCGTCCAGGTGGCAGAAAACTTTGTGCCCCCCCTGCTGGAGGCGGTGCTCATCGACTACCAGAGGAACGTCCCAGCCGCCCGGGAGCCTGAGGTCCTCAGCACCATGGCGACCATCGTCAACAAGCTGGGAGTCCACATCACAGGAGAGATCCCCAAGATCTTTGACGCCGTCTTTGAGTGCACTTTGAACATGATCAACAAGGTCTGTTTAATCACACCTGGAACCAGAAGAACACAATAAAATGTGAAAGTACACAGTCACAAAGTTACAGACTTTAACTCCTCGTTGTTTCCCTCCTGTTTCATCAGGACTTTGAAGAATTCCCAGAACACAGAACCCATTTTTTCTACCTCCTTCAAGCCGCCACCTCCCAGTGCTTCCCAGCCTTCCTGTCCATCGCCCCGGCACAGTTCAAACTGATCCTAGACTCCATCATCTGGGCCTTCAAGCACACGATGAGGAATGTGGCCGACACAGGTCAGAACCAGAAATAATCTATGTTGTCCTGGAAAAATCTGAGTTGTGTTTTAGCCCCTCACTCAGATCGCCTACCTTGGTTAGAGGCAAACTGCAGTAAACTATAGTCAAATCACCAGAGGAGGAAAAATGGCTGTGGTGAGTCAACAGTGGAAAGTGAGCTAAGACCGAGTGTGCCATAAACACCGTAATTAACCTTAGTTAAGATATAGAACTATATCATGGACGGCCGATACTGTTCTGTTTTAATTTCTCTGTTGGTCTAATGAACGTCTCCTCGTCTCCTGCAGGTCTCCAGATCCTTTACACCCTCCTGCAGAACGTTTCTGGCGAGGAGGCAGCAGCACAGAGCTTCTACCAGACGTACTTCTGTGACGTCCTTCAGCACATCTTCTCTGTGGTTACAGACACCTCTCACACTGCAGGTAAACAGGATGCTCTGTGGATTTAACAGCTTTTATGGGCCCAATTTAAAACATACTTTATAATCACACACTGCCTGCTCTCTGTGTACAGGTCTGACCATGCACGCCACCATCTTGGCCTACATGTTCAACCTGGTGGAGGAGGGGAAGGTCAGTGTTGCTCTGAGCGCCGCCAGTCCGGCCAACAACCAGGCACACGTCCAGGAGTACATCGCCAACCTGCTGAAGACGGCCTTCCCCCATCTGCAAGAGTAAGTAGGCTTCAGCCCCGCCAGGTGAACCGCGGTGGGGTTATACGAGCTGTGTGTGTTTGGTTAACGGTGGAATTCAGAGCTATTTCGTGGAAGAGGTTTTAAACAAACATGGGGATAAAAGGAAAAAGTTGATACCTGACATATTTTCAACACAGCCACAGCAGCTGCAATAGACCAGAATGCACTTGTGCCAAAAACACATTTTAAATGAAGGCTGCAGCTGTGATCATAGAGAGAGAGAGACACACACACACACACACACACACACACACACACACACACACACACACACATCTGTTTGTAGTCCTATAATCCAGAAGTGAGTCAGCGCTGTTGAACTCCCTTTCTCAAATTTTAGAGAATTTTCTCACTTTGATTTATGTAGAAAATTGTTTTGTACCACAAAATAAATTCCGCCTGTGAGCTTGGCACTTAAGGCTTGAGGCTGTGTTTATGTTAATGGTAATCGTGTGGTTAAAAAATTGCAACATTATCACTGGTTCAGATTATTTTTCAACAAAACAAGTGTAATCATCAGGCTTCATTCAAACATTTAACTGATGCATCCACACAACCTTCGTGAAGTAGCAGTATATCAGAGAGGGAAGAAGTTAAAGATCCCCCCCCCAGTGCAGAGCGGAGCTGTCAGTACACAGAGCAAGAGTTTGCACTACATGGTGAACAGTTTAACACGCTAACAAACAACATAATCAAGTAAAAGATGCTACTTCTGATACATCTGTGTCTGAGTGAGGCTCAAAGACTGAACCTCTCCGATGTTCCCTCTAACACTTTTTATGTGGGTAAACCATGTTAAAAAAAATATTGATCATATGAGAGTATTTACATACTACTCATACAAATGTGTCTGGAGTGGAACTTTAATATGAAGTCATTTAATATGAGGCTGTTACAGATGTTTCTGTTATTTCGTCCACCCTTGTTCACACACTAGCAGCTAATTGAATGTCTTGTCTTCAGTGCCCAGGTGAAGGTGTTCGTAACGGGTCTGTTCAGCCTGAATCAAGACATCCCCGCCTTCAAGGAGCACCTGAGGGACTTCCTCGTGCAGATCAAGGTGAGTGTCCAGAGGAAACGGTAAATGGGGAAGATGTAGTAAATAAAAATGGAAAATTAAATGACGTATGTACAGGACTGACTCGTCATGTTTGTAGGTGATTTGTATCTGTAGTTCTCCACCACGTCACTCAGAGAGATGAGTCACTTCCTTTCATTCACAGTGAGGCCGTTTAAGGACAATAACCAGACTTTGAATAGAGCCTATCAGAGGATTGCAGCAGTGCAGGCAGCCTGGTGTGATCAATCACTTTACCAATTTAAACAGGCGTGTTGCAGAAGTCCAATCCTGAAACTCAAATGCGCTTTAAATTTTTGAAATTTGGCAGTGTAAAGTGGTTTTTGGTCACAGTAGTGCCTGAGACTCTCTCTCATTTCCAAACACTGCAGAGTCTCTTTTACTGTTTTACAGACAGTTCAGACAATAAAGTGCTGCAGGGATGACCTATTGGAATCTAACCTGGTTTCTTCGACAAAAAGCCAGCAGGATTTTTCCTTTTGGCTTATTGTAGAAAATAAACTCTGTGAACAAAAGTTTTTGATGCTTACGTTTTATTCAGCAAGATAATCTTCACAAGTGAACACCACGTTTATGATTTTTAAATTGGAAATGTGATCACCAGAAGTAAAAAGCTAACGTTAGGCTATAAAATTAACCCATTCACATTGAGGCGAGAGAACTGCAATACTAAAATGCGAATGCTCAGTTCCGAGTTTTACTTCATTCTGCAGCACTCTTTATATGAAAGTAGATATAACTGCTCAAATATTGTGTGAGAGAACAAAGATAAATGAAAGGCCAAATCCAAGCAAAAAGGTCATGATTTAAAACAAAGACGACACATAAAGTCTAATCTGATTGGAAGCGTTTGAAAGCTACAACCTGCGTCAGCACTATTTTAACGTTTGAGTGGAAAGTTTGAGCCGCGCAGGTCTGCCTCTGTGGGAAAACGGCTGTTTGGCAGCTTGACTCTAGAGCCGCGAAGTGTGGTGTGAGCGCCGCTGAGCCTCTGCTTGTGTGGTCCTGCAGGAGTTTGCTGGCGAGGACACGACGGACCTGTTCCTGGAGGAGAGGGAGACGGCTCTGCGCCAAGCCCAGGAGGAGAAACACAAGCTCCAGATGTCAGTGCCCGGCATCCTCAACCCTCACGAGCTGCCGGAGGAGATGTGCGACTGAAGCGGCGGCGGCGGCGCGTACAAAAACGGCACTGAAGGGGGAAAGGTCAAGAGAGAGCAAGGGCGCTTCCTGTTGATAAATAGTTTTCTTTTCAAGTGTGTTTGTGTGCGAGTGTGTGTGTTTGAAAAGAGAATGAGGGGCCATAGGAAGGACCCCAGCACTCGGTTGTACGTCGACCAAATCAATGTCAATATGTAAATGAGAATCGTCCCCCTGACCCCCCCTCCACCCTGGCGCGGATTCTTTTTTTTTTTTTTTTCTTTTTCCTACAAACTTATTTTATACAAAGATTTTTTTTTTTGTGTGTAATATGCCATCTTTTGTTAATCCTTTGCTAATTAAAGCTTTATGTTTGGCCATATGGTTCTTCTACACCTGCATGAAGTTGAAAGAATTTTCGGTTATTTTTAATCCCTCTTCACCCTCCATTCACCTCCTCTTCCTATTTGTTAATATGTAATATATAATGTTCAAACACTTGCAATGGTTAGTTGACTAATTGCTCTGGTTTCAGAAGTGCCATGTGCATGGTGCAGGACGAATGTGACCCTCAAGGGGGGGTAGACATGTACTTCCTTGCTTCCTTTGTTGTCTTGTTTTGGTTTGTTTAGTGTGTTTTTTTTTTTTTTCTTTTATTCTGGCTCTCTGTGTCGGAGCTTCAGTTGGACCGCTCTGCGTTTGGATGAGAAGGAAGGCTGTATGCATATCATCCTGTTTGTAAAGCTGTCTTAGTACTCTGAGAATATAAAGTTGGCTATTTTTACAAAAAAAAAAAAAAAACCTGCTGTGAGACTCTGCTTCTTACCCAAAAGCCCCGAAGGTTTACGGAAAGCCTGGAAAAGACGAGGAATGTCACACCTCGGCTTCCAGGACATGAAGGGTTATTGCAAATGACATGTTTCTAAAAGGTTCTGGAAAGTTGGAAATAGTTTTTTTTAAGCTTGGCTGTGTAGGTTTAGTTGTGTTTCTCGGGGGTCATTGCAGGGGAGTGACCCCCCCCGACCAGGTGGAAAGATGTGGAGTGAAACTAAAGTTGAATGGACCTTTTCTCACAGCAGACGTTTTAGCTCCAGTACGACACTGAACTACTGAACATAACATTATTAATTGCAACCATCGATGTCATCAGCTCCACCTGTGATTTCCCTTCTACAACACCAAATGTCTAGTGTAAATAAAAGTATTTGACTCGGGTTCATTTCGGAAGGAGTGACATAAAATAAGTCGCTGCCCGGTATAATATGGTATATTAATTCAACTAACATGACCGCAGCAGTTCAGCTCAGTGCAGCGGTAGACAGACAGACAGACATCAGGGGATGACGAGCAGTTACAGATTACTTCTGTAAGCAATGCTCTGTTAACCTACACTGAAAGAAGAAACGCTGTGGGTTGCCAGCTGGTAGTGGTCCTGTTGGCACTGGTCTACCAGGCCTGCTTCCAGGGAGAGAAACTTCATTTTGGCGAGTGAAGTTTTCCAGCCTACACACACACACAAAAACCTACATTGTGGGATCTGAGAGAGTCCTAACATCTGGGTCTGATTTTTAGAAACCGCTGTAAAGTCACCTGCCTACAGGTCCCTGTAGGGGACATAAAAGACTGGGTCTGAAAGGTATTTGGATAATGAGGAATCTAACTGTTCACTAAGTGTAATGTCAGATGTATTACATCAGAGGAAATGTAAACAGACATTGTGAACAAAATATTTCAATTTTTTTCCTCCCTTTCGAACCTCCCTGCCTACGGCGTTTAGGGTACATGCAGGATGAGTACACTGTTACAGACGAACACTAAATAAAACCACACACAAATGAAAAACAAGTGTGTAAACCTCGTTACTTAATTTGGTAGTGGTTTCACATCGTTTTATTTAATTTTTTTAACTTTATTCAGCAACATTTATGGATAATACAACAAGTGCTGTTTGCAAGGAGTGTTCAGAAATATTTTTAAAAAAATATAAAAGGAAATATATGAAACAAAACAAACGAGGTTCATCTAAGTGGGCAACATATTAAAGCGTTTAATATTTTTTGTTACTGTTTTTTTAAATGTGAAAGCGTTTGCGAATTTATGTGTATCTGTTTAGAAGTAATATAAGATGATATCTTTCACATTATGCAAGTATTTATAATAAGACAGACTTTACTGATCCCACGCTGGGGAAATGTACTCACTATAATACACAGGTAAAAAATAGTAAAGAAAAATACAAGGTATAATAAAAATAAGAATGTAAGTATGTTTATTTGATATATGTTTAAATATTTAAACTTAAATTACATAACACGACATACAAACATTAATATTTAATATCTATATAAAACATTAATATTTTATTTTATTAATTAAAACATCCAATCCAATCCAACTTTATTTGTTAAGCACTTTAAAACAACCAAAGTTGACCAAAGTGCTGTACAGGAGAATAAATAAGACATCATAAATAAAAGACATAACAGCTCACATGAGGCGCAAAATTACAAATAAAATACAACAATAAAATGAAAAGACATGAGTAAAACTAATAACCATGCAATTATAATGTATAAAGACGTTATTTTCTGTGTGTTTTGAATGAATGTCATTAGTCATGAGTAGTTTCCCGGCAGTTGCCCTTGAGATCCTGAGGGAAAGGTTGTAAACATCACTTCATTCGGGAACTATCGCGAGAGCGCCGACAAAAACCGAACGAGCGAAAGAGACAACCCGAAAACCCCCGAAGTCCATACGCTCTGTATCCGCCCCCTCCCCCCCCCCTCCCCTCCCCTCCTTTTCCCCAACATGGCTGCCGTATCTGCTCTCTCATGTAACGCTCAGCTTGGAGACTGACTCGACTCTTACCTTCCACTGTCCTCCTCCACTCCCGGTTGCACTCCACCGTCGCTCGGATGCAAACCCCGTCCTCCGACCTCTTCGTGTCCCCCGGTGTCATCCATTGGAATAACCTTCAGCCCTCTCTCTGCCCCCCCCCACCACCACCACCGGGCCTTTCTTTTTACCCCCCCAGAAAAACAACCAACTGCCGGGCAACAACAGCTCTTCTTCAGCCAGTGCAATGGTTTGACTTTCCCTTCTCCATGAACAATGTGCGAAAACTGCGCCGAGCTGGTGGAGGTTTTAAATGAAAGTGAGTCATTTCTCTCTCTTTAAAATAAATAAAATTAAATTAAAATTAAAAATAAATGGTTTTTTTTTTTTTTTTTTACATCAAAACGCTGCTAGTTAGCATCGCTCGTTAGCTCGGAGGCTAGGTGAAATGTAACTTTGTGTGTTTTTGGTCGACGAGCAGCAGAGAGACAGCAGAGTGTGTCTGCGGGCTTCACGCTGCTCTTTCTGTTCCTTTATTACCTCTACAATTAGCAGTCAGTGTGTTTTATATGTATATTTATATATTTATTTATTTTTTTCTGGGGCCTGTCTTGTCAAACACTCCTTTTTACAGAAGTCACACAAGCTAGCTAGCTAGCCTTGAATCGCCTCGCTCGGGTTTCTCTCTCTCTCTCTCTCTCTCTCTCTGTGTGTGTGTGTGTGACATTAAAGGCTTTTAAAACACGTTAGCACGGTTGAGCACGGGTTTGAATGGATGCCGCCGCTGTTGAAGAGGTTAGCTCGCCTTTAGCTCGCCAGTTAGCCTGACTTTTGTTTGATGTGTTTGTCAGGTCAGGGCTGCTAGCTGTCCACTGCGCTGCCAACCCCATTGTTTTGTGGCTGGCTCACATCTCAAAATGGCTAACAGTTAACACGGTTAACGCCGCTGACACTCACACGAATGGTGTAAGATGTTTTTACAGTGTGTGTTTTTAGTGTTTTTAATGTGTTTAGTCTGCAGCTAGCTGCAACGAGGCGCGATGTTTTTGGCACACAGCAACCTCGTTTTAATCCTTGTGTTTGTTTTCCGGCCGATTTCCTCCGGGGCTTTTTTTTTTTATTTTATTTTTTGGGTGGTGAAGTTAATTTGTAATCCAGCCACAGAGAAAGTCCCCCGTGTACACCCCGCAGAGCTGATGTCACCTTAAAGCCAGCAAACGTAAATACAGGGTCGCCTTTATCTTTATCGCTGGAAGTTGCTCACCAGGGCCTTGCTGCACTTTGAGGAGGTTGACTGCAAGACACTGAACAAAAAGCCTTTCTTTGTGTTATAACGGCAGTTTAAACGCCGCTGTTGTGCAGAGAGATGCTCGGTTTTATTTGTGGTTTTCCTGTGTACGTCCAGCCCTTTTTTGTGTGTGTGTGTGTGTGTGCCATGAACTTGAAGTGAAAGCTCCTCCTGCAGACTCTTCTCTGCAGCACCTGGCTCTACCTGGATTGTCAGGAGCTCACTCATTCAGGCAATTACTGTGCAGATATTCAAGTTCAAAGTGTGAGAGTGAGACGTGGACACCTGTTTCATCCTTCGGGTGCAGCATCTGGCTAAAAGTATGCAGACAGCCGAACATTACAGACACATACAGGAGAGCTGAACGTGTCGTTGGAATCATTATTCTGCTGTTATAACGGCTTCATGCCCTCTGGCAAGATTTCTTTTTTAAACAAGATTTCAGAATTTGGCCTCAAGGATTTGCTCCCATTGTGCCAGGAGGGCGTTATAACCCTTCACAGATAACATGGAGCCACTGACGTGTTACAGTGGTTCACATGAGACTGACACCTCCTGTTTGGCTGTTGTTGTTTTTGTTTCTCGCTCTCTCGTTAGGCGGTCTGTCAAATGTTGTTTTAAAGGTCAGTATCATTAATTGTCTATCCTTAATCGAGACAGCTCGTCACCCAAAGCTGGGGCGTCTGCGCCGGTCTAAATAGGTTATTAGTGAAGTCTGCGCTGATGTTGGGTGATAAAACCTGGCTTGTGGTTGTGGCTTTGTGCACGGGGACATTGTCACGTTGAAACAGGAAAAGGGCCGAACACAAACTGTTGGAGGCGCAACTATTGTCTAAAATATTGTAGCATTCAGATTTCTCCTCACTTGCAACTGAGCCCCCGACCACAAGAAATGTCCATTATCTTTGTCCATATTGTGTGTTTTTAAACAAGCAGTTAATCTGCTTTACACAGATTACACTGTAGGAGGGTCTTTTCTAATGGTAGCTGGACCTTCACTCCAGTTCTGTGATTGTCGAAGTTGTAGTTTATCGATATATTCCAGCGTCTCTCATTCAAAGATTGGCTGCTGTATGATCTGTCACTGAGCTGTTAATGTGACAGCAGCAGCTTCAGATTCAGTCTAATACTGATGTGTGTAAGAGAATTGTGCATATTTCTGTGAAACTCTTAGTACGTGTTGCATGGTAAAAGTCCAATAGTGGCTTAAATTTATTACCGACATTGTTAAATATGCCAAAAACTGAACTGCTTTGTATATGTAAAGTCAGACAGACAACAGTTTGTGTCACACCTCCATTATTGGATTATTCTTTGGGTATCAGGGCAGGCACATTGCCAAAAGCATTTTGCAGATTAAATGATCTGTTAATAATATATTCTGACTTCTTATGCAGAACGTTGTTGGGCTTTATGTTCTGTGAAAGCCAAAGTATGTTTGTGAAGTTTGAACATGAGCTGTGTGTGTTTTTGTTGTCTTACTATAATATTAATTAATATTAAATCCTACATCTTGGCCTTTCTTACGCTCAGGTGTGCATAAACTTTAAAATATAAAAATGTGAGTTATCTTATTGGTCTCTGCCATGAGAAGCAGGCAATAATCAATCATCATATCTCTATTTTTCTTATGTTATTCTCTATAAAACTCAATATTCTCAACTATTCTATGTTGTCTAGACACAAGCAGACATACAGGACCTTTGCCTGAGAAGAATAATACTGTCAGAAGTTCTTTGATTCGATTGAACAGTCTGATCAAGCATTCAGTTCCAGCTTTCAGAGGCAACGCCGCTCCGATTCCCACTCAAGTTACAGGACAGATAATCTGCTGCTGATGTGCTTTTTCACCAGTTCAGCTATAAACTGGTGAAACCCGGTGGGAACTGGAACGAGACCCGTTGGGCCTTCACGACTTCACTGATACAAAGTGGTGTTGTGGAGGGTCTCTGACGGGGGTCCCACAGCGGGGTGCTGTCAGCTGTGACAGCTCTGTCTACAAGACTGGCAGCTCCATGTGTTCTGTCTGCAGGTGACCTGTGACCTCAGATTTTGCTGCAGCAGCATGTGTTTATGTGTGCGTGGAAGAGGCAGAATCCCCTTTTACAACAGGGAGCTGTGTTCAGCCGGGGTTTCCTAACACCGGGCTGAGCCACGTGCTTTCCAAAAATGCGAGGATTTGCTGCTTTTCTGTTTTCCTGTGTGTTGTCTTTGTGTGTCAGACAAAGAAAACAATTTGAAGATATCACCTTGGGCTCTGGGAGGTTGTGAAAGACTTGTACTTGTTTGACATTTCCTAATAGATTATTGAGACATAAAATGGTTATGAATAGTGATAATAATAACAGTGGGCTGTCTTATTCTGATCCACTAATGACAACACTTCAGCTCGCTACCCAGCTGTAACCTGACAGGTCCCCACAAAGTTTCAGGTTCAGGTGGTTCTGTTGCATTAAGCTTTGGGCTCAGGTTGGGTTATGTATTTATCAAATATAATGTCCCTATTTTAATGTCACAGTCTGCACACACAGTGTCTGAGACACTGGTTCCCAACCTTTTCCCTTAAACGAGCCCTTTTCTATCATTGAGTAAACTAAGTGACGTATTTTATGGATATTTTATATTATATTCAATACAACAGTATAGAACAGCTGATAAACGGAACAATGAACCCAAACAGTGAACACAATAACTGCAGGAAGTTTGCGTAAAACCAGCGATCTGAATGAATTCTGAGCAGATTATATTTCCTGTGAATTCTGCATCAGAGATGTGTTTTACTGATATTGTTAGGAACACTTTGTACAAGCAACAGTCACACAGACTTTAATAGGCTTCTGACAAATTCAGTGTTTTCTTCTGATTGTTCTGTTCGCTCTTTGGTTGTTTGTTACTGCGTACTTTCTAATGCAGGACGGGGCTGTTTAGCAGAGAGTGAAGGCTCTGAATGTAGCAGAAATGAAGGAGATGTAGGCCGACTACTGTGTATATTTTTAACGTTTTCACCCATAAAAATCGAGAAGGCCTCGTCGAACCCACTGTGAACCCTTGTTGAACCCCTGGTTGGGAACCCCTGGGTCAGTAATGGATGAAACATTACACCCTCAGACCTTAATGTCCACTGACGTCCCGCTCTGCTTCTCCAGTGAACTACAGCACGAGCTCAGTGCCATTCACAGAAAAGAGCGTCTTTATAATTACAGATTCTGTCATTCTGAGTGTTTCAGATCTTCTGCCACCTCCTCAATATGCCGTCAACCGCTGTCGCCTTTCAGAAACACATTTTGGTTGAACTGTACTGCTTTTAGTGTTGCAGCTGGAGCGTTTAAACGCCTCCAGTCTGGCTGAGCGTTCTAGTCGCTCGCCGAGCCGAAGGAGTGTGATCACACAGTGCAGGTGTCCTCCTCCTCTTTATATTCATGGTGAGCTGCCATAAACTGGGTGTAATGTTGGCTCCTGTGAGCCCGTTCCCAGACAAAACGGCATCAAAGCAGTGAAACGGCTGCACGGCTGCAGGCCAGATCTGCCGGGGCAGCATCCCAGAACACCACCGACGGTTCTGAAGCCCTCAGAGGAGCTTCTGTTCACACGTAGAGCTCAAAGGGTTCTGGTGCAGTTTCAGTGAGTGAAAGTTACCGCTCGCACGGCCAAGATGGTTGTGTGGGTACTATTGTTGCTGTTTTTTTGTGTTTCTGTCTGTCTTTGCTGCCAGATTCAGGTCAGCAATTCAGCGGAGACACTTGATTCCTCTGAACGGGGTGTGACTGATGTGGATCTATTGAAGGCCCAATACAATAACCGTAACTTTAGACTGAAGCTGCTGACGTCTGCTGCCAATATTTAATGTCTTTGTACTAGGCAGCCTCCACATTAGAGCCCATCTGATCATCATTAGCAATATTTTAGGGTAAACATCTGACATTCTCTTTTCTTTTCGTCAATCTGAGTGTATTTTACTCACCATCAACAAACCATGGGAACTAAGTGGGGCATACATTTCTCGGTCTACTGAATTTGTATCCGATATGACGGAGTGTCCTCGATTGATCCATGTTTTCCCCATTTTCTGAGAAGTATTCCACCCGTATTCCTCTCTTACGATATCCATCCCTTGTTTAAGAAAGCTTAGTTGTAGTAGATTAATATTTCCCAGAGCCACAGGTCACTTCACATAACATTATCTTTAATCCAAGATACAATCAGGGTTTCCAGGAAAAGCTGGAAATATAAAGACTAGTTTTGCAGGCATGGAAACACCTGGAAATGTCCTAAGAGTGAGTTTACCAGCTGTAAAGTGGAACAGACTCACAGTGATCTTTTGACCAAGATGATATTTCTGTCAAATAATATAAATTCTACTTAATTTTAACTGTTGCTTTCAGGATGCGGCTAAATTAAAGTAGTCAGTTTACCCCGAAACTGCCGCTTATATGACGGTTTGTGAGCGAGGGCTGTCCTGTAGTGTCACGAAGAACTCCTGGAAAATGTCCGGGAAAGAAAATGATTTGTTTAAAGGAGTGGGAACCCTGTACAATGTCTCACTGGAGTTTCATAACCTGAAATAATCTCTAAGGGTTAAAGGTATAAAAGATCATTTCACATAACCAGAAAAACATGAGGATGATCAGCATTTATGTGACCCACACAATCTCCAGGATATTCTCTTTTCAACGCCTAATTGGACAACTACAGGTCAGTGTGCCTGTCGTAGGAAGTGCTGCTCATCCTGTTAAAACTCTGTAGGGCTCTAGTGACATCCCTCGAGTGTCTCAGTTCGGGGTCAGAGGTGACAAATTGATAACGACAAAGAAGAACTACTTTATTCATCCCCTTGGAGAAACTGCTTTTTTTCACTCGCTCTATTTGGAAACTCAGACTTTGGACTTGAAGTCTGGATATCTTGTCCTCTGCTGCTTTGGTTTTCATTCATTTTTAAATGTCTCCCTTTTGACTTCTTAAAACCATGTGGGTTCCCTGGGGTACCCCTTTAACTCGACAGATATGGGTTTTTCAATGGCAGGTGCTGTTATTTAGATAATGGCAGATAAACAGTTGAACAATATATTTAACGGTAAAAGTAAATGTATTCTTCACTGGAAATGAAATTATGATAAGTAATTGTAAGTCAAAGCACAAATAAAGCCAAAAAGGTAGCTTGGAATTAAGTTAAAGGGTCAAAATTAGACTATAAAACATTTCTATACTTTTTCTTTTTGCACAACATGTATAACTACGACCGAGTATTAGGGCCAGACTAAGAGAAGAAATTGTATTTATTTTTCTGGGAAATTAGGAGAAAAAGTTGTAATATTACGAGAATAAAGTAGTAATTTTATGAGAACTCTTACAAGAAAGAGCCGTCTTCCCGCTGCATTAAAAGAGGAATGCTGAGCATCTTGTGAAGTTATACTTTGCTATCAGTTTCACAAATAATGAAATACTTAATCTTTTGGCTCATCAGCATCAAATTATTATCAGTATCAGGACTTTAGAATTATGCAAACGACTGTGTCTATTTCGAAGAAAGAACCACACGGACTTGGAAGAAGTTTCTTCTTTTGTACATTATTCTCGTATTATTACGACCTTATTCTGGTAATATTACGACTTTATTCTTGTAATATTACGACTTTATTCTGGTAACATGACTTTATTCTCGTAATTGTATTTATTTAGTATGGCCCTAATACGTTGTCGTATAAAACAAACAAACAAAACAGAACGAGACGTTTTTGTCAACAGTGGAACTTTTATTTAGGGTGAATACTTTTTTGTTTTCTATTTGCCTTTTGTGAGTCTGAAATGAAGTTTGAATTGAATTGAGTACTTGACAAATAGATGTTAACTGTTGTAACTTTGACGTGAGTGTGGTTACCTGAAAGTAACAGCTATAAAAACCAACCGGCAGTTCGTTGGTGGTGTTAAGTCCGTGTATCTGTCTGTCCTGTAACAGTCTGTCCTCTCTGCTCTCTCCTCAGTATCGGATGCAGACAGCAGTGAAGGAGGCTTCCAGCTGAAGAAGGAACATGCCCTGCGAGTGCTGGGCTACATCAGCTCCTGGACGCAGAGGTCAGTGGCTGCTTCCTCTAACACGAGTCAGCAGATAAAGTTTAAAATAATGTGGCTGAAAGAAAAGCAAGGTCTGCCCCTCGCTCTCCTTGATCCTCTGTGCTCAAAGTTTAAGGTTCCTCTGAACTGTAACGAGCGGCTCTTTGCGTTACCTGTAAATTCTGTCGACCATATCTTTCAAAAATTTTATTTCAGACGAGCTGAAAACCATGTTAACAGTGATGTAAAGTAGTGAGGAAATTCTGGAAATATACTCCAGTCATGCTGGATTTTTACCAGCTGGGATAATCTGCTCAGTAGACATGAATCACTCATTATGCCCATTTTAGCAACTGTAGACCAGCTACCTTCGAGCAAGGCATTCAGTCCATTGACAACCTTCATTTGGATGAATAAATATTACAAGGAATATATAAAAAACACATTTTTAGACTCCAATCTGCTCTGCGAGTGGAGGCCATGAGACGACAGGAAGGGTCTGAGTAATGATGACTCTCATTTTAGTTTGGTGTGTGCCTGTTTTTTATTCATCCAGCTGGAATGTCTTCATGCTTGGTGTATGAAGGAGGCTTGAGACCTAAAACCTTCAAAATCTGCTGACTCATTTGTTTAAAAGTTGCCAAGAAGCAGTCCTTTCCGTGGGCCCTGCTGTGTGTTATTTGTAAGTGTGTAATGCTTCCATCTTTTGCGGAAAGTAAGAGGAAATTGCTGGTGACCCGTCCTGTACTTTGACTTAAGTGACGGGTAAGAGCTACACTGAGACGTGGCAAAACATCTGTGTACTCACACGCACTCAGCTCTCTTTCCAGGACGTGACAAGAATCTTGAATGGAGATATAATATTTTAAAATCGACTTCCAGTTATAAAAATGTGCGTCTGCCTTGCTAAGCTAACTATGGATTCCAAACCCCGAAAAAAGAAAAGACAAATTAGCATTACAGATATGTGTCGCAGCTCCAGACAGATTCTGCTGAACCAGAAACAGAAACAGCTGTTATATCGCTCTTTTCAAAGCCACCAGACTCCATTGACAAAAACAGTAATTTTACCTCACAGAACAGGGAGCTGGTCTGCCGTTGCCGCCATCGTTAGTTTGTTTGCTGAAGGGGGAACTAACCCTTTAACTTTTATAGTACTTCATTCATTCATTCAAGCTTCCAGTGTGACTTCAACTGTTTACATGTCAGATTTTCAGTGAGTTCTTTTAACTGTTGAACTGAACTGTATTGTATTGAAAAGTAAGAAAAGCGTCACAAATAGCACCGGTTCTATAGAAATACTGAAAGTATTGTTGTCATTTGTCGCTCCTGGATTCCAGTAACACTCAGTAAGTTCTCCTGAAGTGAGTTGGTTTGAGAAAGATGATCTGCAGCCGTGTTTATTGAGTCTTTAACACTTCCTGTTTCTTCTCCTGTGTCTTCAGACAATGTCTCTGCTGCTTCAAGGAGTACAAGCACCTGGAGGTCTTCAACCAGCTGGTCTACGCCCTCATCAACCTGGTCATCGCTCAGATCAGCAGCCTGAGAGACCGCCTCTGCAGCGTCCAGGACCACACTCATAAAGGAGGCGTGTCTGGGACTGATGGGGTGGGGTCCGATTGGAGTGGGGGCGAGGCTGCACCCGGGGCCCTCGCCCAGCCGTCCTCACCTGGGGAGGACGAACCCGTGAATGTGGAGAGAGACTCTGCCGAAGAGGACGCCGACGCCCCCGACCTGAACCAGAATAAGACCCAGGGTCAGGGGGCCAACCAGCCGTGTGAAGCGCAGATGGAAGCGCTGGGGCCCGGGGAGGGCGGCAGTGGGTCTGGGGGTGGTGATGGTGGTATCGGAGGAAACGGTGACAGCCAGGACCCGTTCAGCTCCTGGAGCACAGAGGAGAGGGAGAAACTGCTGTTGTGTGCCGCCAAGATCTTCCAGATCCAGTTCCCTCTCTACACAGCCTACAAACACAACACACACCCCACTATAGAGGTGAGGACAAGTCCAACTGTGTGTCTGTGTTTAAAGAATAAAATCTGTTTTCAGTACCCGCCTCAAAAGGCCGTTATCAATCAGATAGATCAGCTCAGATGTTCTCTGATGAAAACAGGCTCTGTAGTGTAAATGCCACAATACCAAACCCCATTCTTCTCTGTTCAAGCTCCTTTTAACATCCTCTGACTGTGAACAGTGGCCTGTAATTCAGAAACATCATTAACTAAACAGAACTCAGCATTAAAAACAAGCCTTGTAATTTCCCAGTTTTAGAAAGATTGAGATTTTTCCTTTTGAGTGCATATCCTCTAAAACCCTGGCTTATCTGTTTCTGTTCTCCAGGACATATCTGCTCACGAAAGCAACATCCTCGGCTCCTTCTGCGACATGAACGTAAGCAATCTACCTTATCCTTATTTCACCGGGTTGACTGCTGCCTTCAGTTACACTGCTTCCTGTCAATCACCTGACACCTGCAGCAGGAAATAATCCCTCAAGAACATGTTGCCTTAAGGCGAGTTCAGACAATCCCGTCGCTGCTGCAAAAACACACTTCCTCATTCGTGTCAGTGAAGCTCCTGATTGCTCTGAGAAGCACTCTCTACTAAATGCTCTAAACGCCAGAGTAGTTCCTGCCCTCGTGTCCTCGTGCTGGTTGTGTTTCTGTCATTTATTCCGTCCTGAAGCTGTTTTATTGGGAAGCTGCACGAACAAGCTCCGTGCCCAAACCCGACAGCTGTGCTGCATCCAGAGAAGGAGCCGGGGGGGGGAGAAAGGGCGATGATGAAAACTAGATGCAAGCTGGAGGCATGTTGGGAATTGCTGTTAAGAGTCGAGGACATCAGGGGGCCCGTCATGTGCCAAAAAAGTGTCACATGACCGCTGAAGAGGTTTATTGGTCGCATCTTCTCTGGCAGCTGTCTGAGGTCACGGCGCACATGCATGTGAGGGACAGAATAACAGGAAAATAAATAAATAAAGTGCCACATCATCAGCCTGGACTGTAATGTTAGTTCACTTCCTCTAACAGTTTTCACTGAGTCACCTCCTGTGATTGGTCTCACATTTCTTAAAGTCATCATCTTCGTCAGCGGTGGGGAGAATAGTTTGCTGTCACACAGGACTAAAAACAAAGAAAATATTCAATCAAAAACACTTTTTCTTGTCTCAATAACTCAGAAATCAACAGATTCATTGAACAGTTCTGTTAACTATGATTGCAGCTCTACTCCAGCGTGTTGTGAGCACTGTCTGTCTACTGACGGTCGTTTCCAATGCTGTTCTTTGCATTTCCTCTCACGGTTGAGGTTCTTACTGTCTCCTGACTTGAGATCAGAAACCTGATACCCGGGCAGCTGAGTATCCAAATATAACCGTTGTCTGATGTGAGGTTTCATGTTGCTACGATGTGCTCTGTGTCGAGTGGCCCAGCTTGGATTTATTCTGTCCTGTGGACTACTTTTGTTTTTGATATCAGCGTACTAAATGGCTTCACATGGGACGGAAAATCTCCCAGAAACAGGGAAAAGATTCACAGAATCAGTTTACTTTAGTTTCCAGAGTGAGTGAGTTTGTTTCAGTTTAGTTTTTCTTGTTTATTTACTTTAGTTTCAGTATTATTTGAATTTTTTGTTATTATAATATTGGATATAGCTAATATCTGGAGCTCGATTTAAGAAGTTCAGAATTGGCATTACAATAAAAAAAACCTTGACTCACAATCAAACAAACATTCACCCAGTCCTCCTCGTGCTTACTGACCAGACTCAAACTAAAGACATTTCCTATATATATATATATATATATATATATATATGTGCACAATATTGTTTTTTTAGTTTTAATTTGTTTTCAAGTTAACAAAAAATATTTTTCATACCAAGTTTTAGTGTTTTGTTCAGTATTAGCTAGCTATAATATCCTTGAGGCACATTTAATGTAGGTGTGAGTCACCTGTAGAACAGTACATTTCCTCATACAACATGTGATCAGTGTGGGCCTGCAAATGAAAAGCAGAAGATGACGTACCAAAAAACAGAGGCGTGTGTCACTAGTAGACTTCATAGATTACTGTTATTAACACAGGCAGCCGCTGTCACACGGGGTAGATAAGAAAATAAAACCGAATAAAATAATGACTCTGTTTATGTCAGGTGAAGACGGTTCATGTGTTCAGTTATGACTCACAGAGTGTTTCTATCAGGAAGGCCTGTTCTCATAGTTCTGGTTCACGTCAGGCGGTGTGTTGAGTTTTTCGAATTGAGTGCAGTTCTCTGTTTAGCTAAGTATTGTCCACATTTCCTGCCCTCTTTGGGTTTGTTTTGTCAAATCTACGCCCACATTATTACAGTGTGCCGAGCCTCGTGAAGTCCATGGTAACAGGCTTTCATTGGTCTGTGCTCCTGACGCTGCTCTTTGTGTTCCCAGATGAAAATCTTAAAGAGATCAGAATCAGTTTAATAACAGTGTTTTGGAAAAGGAATGCAGTGCTTGTGTCCCGTGTTAAATGAGCCTCTGTGTATATTATAGTTTTTAGTTTTATACTTAGCTTGGAGATTGGGGTTAGAGCCTTGCGTACTGGTGAAAATAGAAAAAAAAGAGCTGTGCTAGGCGAGTTGGCGTTTATTGGATGTGGTTTGGTTTCCTGCAGATGAATTCACTGTCCCCCAGAGAGCGGTAATGTGTCCCCAGATAATGTGCTAGCTCGGTGGCTTTTACCTTCTCACTGTAATAAAAGTTTCATTAAGCACCAGGGTGGAGGCTTGGGGAGGGATTTAAGAACAGGCTGTATAGAAATGGGGTGGGGGGTGGGTTGAGCGGGTCTTCTATTATCATAGCTTTTCACTGTTTTTACTGGTCAAAATATTCAACGTACATGAAATACATTGATTTTTACATTGTGTTTTAGAGTGCCCCAACATTGGCACTATGCCACACTTTACAAAACACTTGTTGTTTAAAGATCCTCTCTAGACATGACTGATGTGGTGTTTCCACACACAAAAAAAGTATAATTTCCACATTAAAATAATTAAAAACCTCATTAAAAATGACGGAATCTATAAATATGCAAATAATGCTCGACACAAGATGTCTCCTACTTCACTGTAAAGCCCATTCTCAGTGTCTGGGCTTCAAATCTGCATCACACTCGTATTAGGTTGTTGTGGCTCAGAGTAACTCTCAGCAGATGAACTCTGCACAGACGTCATTCAAACATCATTCAAACATCACACTGTAGCAACAAGAAGAAACACTGGTTTTGAGTGAAAGGGGACTTTAAGTGAGGAAATAAAGTGAAGAAACCAAACTGCTGAATAGAAATAAACTGACCAGGTGTTGACATGTTCAATTACAATGTCAAATCATCCATAGAAAACCATTCTGGCAGTATAATGAAGGCTGAGTTTCTGATACTGCATCATGGCTTTACGACTCCAGGCTGTGACAGGACCGAAATCCAGGCTGAGTTTTGGTTTCGCACACACCTGAAATTTAGCAGATCTGATAAAAATACATACAGGGAATATTCTATATGGTTGTACCGAATAGTTCTCCGTCTCTGTCCTCTACTAACGGGGCTCTCCCTCCTCCAGGTCACTGGAGGCCACCCATTAGTGATTAATCCGCAATAGATGGCTTCGAATGTAAAACGGACATTTGTTACAACCAATCGGCTATAGAGAGTTCCTGTTGTGTGTGTGTGTGCTGTGAATAAAGAAAAACATTTATCTGCACCTTCATTCCTGTTTACACCCATTTACGCAATGTCTTGAGAAATTGCCAACGTGCTTGCTGTACCAGTGCCACCGATGTAAAGAGTGAGCCTGGACTCGGTGTGTGTGTGTGATAAGATGTATCTGACGTTGTCTCCCCCTCATTGACCAGGACGTGGAGGTGCCTCTGCATCTGCTGCGTTACGTGTGTCTGTTCTGCGGGAAGCACGGCCTCTCCCTGATGAAGGAGTGCTTCGAGTCGGGCACTCCAGAGAGCCTCCCCTTCCCCATCGCCCACGCCTTCATCACCATCGTCTCCAATGTGAGTCCACAAACCCGGAGACGTCATTTTTAAAAGCCACGAAATGAAAGCTTTAGACATTTGTTGAGAGTTTTGAGGTGGATTTGAAGGCCAGTTTATTAGATACACCTAGCTAAGACTAATGCAGTCTAATACAACAGTCCTACAGTAAATCCTCCCTTCATTAGTCTTATAGTTCAGTTTTTATTGAAATTGCTTTACATTATAGTGAATACAGTGTTTCTAATATCTAACCTCATCGTCATTGGTAAAAACAGGCTGGACTGCTTTAGTTTGAGCTCAGCGTGCCTCATAAACTGACAAAAACATGACAACAAATGTAGATCACCTGCTGTGTTTGTGTGGTTAAATTCTGTGCGTTGTGTCTTTGGTCCTGTCCGCAGATCCGAATATGGTTGCACATTCCTGCGGTCATGCAGCACATCATACCGTTCCGCACCTATGTAATACGGTGAGTGACACACGGTGGTGAACTCCTTTTGTTCCTGATGAATCTGTTTGCTGATATTCAGTTATATGCACGCTGTCGACACATATGCTGAGTTTCTTTAATCAGTCATTTCATACTAAGCCTGTGCCAACTGGCTGTCTGAGCTTATATCAACGGATGGTTTTCCTACGCCAACAATAAGGCAGTTTTTAATGAAATATCAGAGCTAATTTGTTTTAATAAGAATCAAATCAATTTGCCTTTTCTTTTCCATGGATCTGACACACAGTCTTCATACGCCTGCTCACCAAAGCTAACCGCACCCTGCAGCGTTTACTTTCGCTTCAAGTCAGGTTTTTTGTCACGTTTCCCGTCTAATAGAAAAACCCTGAATAAAAATATTTATCAACCTGTGTGAGCTGCTCACTAGTTTGTAATCCCACAGACTCTCCCCAGGCAGCAGCCCCCTTTTCCCATCATGCCTTGTCCTAGTCCGGACAGTGTAGTTAAGTTTTTATGTTGCAAAATGTTGGTCATTGTCACTTTTCTGCTGGTTTATAGTTGTAACCTGTAACGTTTCCTGACGTCGGCAGCTTTTTATTGGCTGTGACGTCGCTCTCTCACTCCCGTCACACCTGGCGATCGGAGTGTATGTCTGCAATCTCGAGTAGCCACGATTGGACAATATGAACTCTATTTCATGCAACAAATGATAATTACCCTGCGCTTATATACAGTACCTAGACATACACACAGAGAACAATCAGTCCGAGGGACCAAGTCATCAACAGATCATAAGCAAACACATGGAGGAGGAGGAGGAGGAGGAGGAGGAACAGTATATTATTATTATTAAGACCCAGTGAGGCAGATAAGGAGAGCATTTTCTGAGCTTCTGCATTCTGCTGCAGGGCCTGTCTGAGTTCCCTGGTTTGTATGACTGAGTAGCTGCCATTTTGTTGAACACCTTGCTTCCCTGTCAGCATCCAGCAGCTCCTCCGCCCCAACCAGGCTGGAAGAATTGGAGCTTCTGCAGAGGATCGGTGGCGACTCTTTGCTTCAGATCGGCGCAAACCAAAAAGTCTGCACAAGACTGCGAGCTCTGTCTCAGTAACCTTCTCAATCTTCCACATTAATTACGTACTTATTGGACCTTTATACGCTTTGAACAACCGTGTCTAGGTGTGTTGCTTCCATTTGAAGTGACGAAGCCAAAACGTGTTCGACTCAGAGCTCTCTGTCTCCGTCTCTCTCACTCAGTCAGTCAGTGCACCTCGCTCATTCGTGCTCCCCCCCCCACCCGCCAAATACCAAAGTGCCACACTTGTGTTGCTAGGAAGAGCTTCCGTCACCATGGCAACAGTTGCCAGGCACCCAGCGAACCTCTCCTCACATGACCCTAGAGGAGGCAGAGCGCTAGCAGGGCCAGTCACGTGACTCGGGCGGGCTGATGCTCCGCTGCCTCGCAGACTCTTCTGTCTCACTGAGCAGAGACTCTCTCCGGTCCAATGAAAGCATTATTATAATAAGAATAACAATTAAAGGGTCATTCTCTGGTTTTATTAAAACACACACTCCCCTTACAGTATCCATCCAGCCCACAGTTCAGATTTTAAAAGATTCAACAGCCAATGTTACCTGCATTGAGGAGGAGGAGGAGATTCTTCATCAGCTCTAACAGCTAGGAGACTCAAAAGGGCAGCAACACACCAGCGGCGTATGATACACGAGCACATTTTCTTAGTCTATCAAGATCAGGGATTACCTCTATCAGCGTGATTCATAGCTGAGTAAAGCTGTACAGGAAGCCATAAAACACCAAATAATAAGAAATGGTGACGCTGTAAAAGTTCATACTCACTTGAACAGACTTAGCAAGGACCCATGGGCTGTGACTGACTCTGAACCTAATAGGCCATGGAAACTATGAAACTTAATGAATCACTTAAATGTGGTCGGCACGCACAAGCAGCCATACAAAAAGTTTTTGGTACTTGACATTTTTTACCAGCTGCCGAACTCAAGGGGACGATACGACATCTATATGTCACAATTATCTTGGCCGAAATAATTGGGATACACTAAATGACATTAAAACCGGAATAACCTTATATTTTATTTAGTAACACATTCTGAAAAAGCAGGGTCCCAATTAGACACAAGTCTCCTTTACTAGCCTGCTGTGGCTACACGTTTTGATAAATGAACTCTTTATTGATGATCTCTTTATGTTCTTATGTTCAATTTGTTGTTGACTACAACGTCTATCTCTACTTTCCTTCTGCTGTCTCGTCCGTTTAGCTTTGTGGGTTGATTTTCATGTTGAATGTTTACTGGCAATATCAGTAAGTATAAATCATAATCAAAACAGATTTGGGATTTATTTTTTTCCGGGCTCTAGTTCAATAAAACCAGACAGTTCAAAATTTAATTTCACGTAACTTTCCCCCCCTCCCTCAAAAATAGATTTTGGCACCGTTTTCGTGCTTCAGTCCAGTTTAGGTATTTGCAGTTGAAATCAGATTGATCAGCAAAACAAAAATCCCTTCAGCAGCAACTGTAGCCTCCCAAACTCATCAGAAAAGATCTGAAAACCACAAACCTGACTATCCCAGCTCGGAGTGAAGACTGGATGAGTCAGCAGCACTCCGCCGTTGATCAGATATCTCAAAGTACGCCTGCACAGGGCTGGAAAATGAACGTGATTAAAAATTAATCTCAAGGGTAGCGGCACAGTAATTTAAATGTTTGGATTCAAAGACAAAAAAATTTAATGTGAGAGTGGAAATGTAAAGGCTTGGGGCTGTCAGGTCGCGTTAATATCAGGACAAACTCTGTGTGAATTGAGATGATTTAGTCTGTTATCACCGCTGGGGTGTGTCTCGGCATGATGATTCTTCCTGGTGGAGTTTTTCCTGCCGGTGTTAAAATGGAAGCAGTGAGAACATTAGATAGAGAACCATATCTATAGGACAACACCTCATTCATCCTCCTCTCGTTGGGAGAGGATGAAATTGAAACCCTGCGTTAGGTTTGGGTGATCGGTTCTATTTTTCAAACTTTATTTTCGAATCAACATCTTGTGTTTTAACTTAGTCTAACTTTCAAAATGATAAGATGAGATTAGGACTGCACGATATGGTAAAAACAGCATATTGCGATGATTTTGACAGATATTTTGATATTAGATTAGTGTGGGAATGATCATTTATGCATCACAAATTTCATTTTCATTGAAAAAAGCATTGCACATTTGCAATTTTGATAATATTTGAATTCAGTGTGCAGCCCTACACGACATCCTGAATGAAGAAACTGGTGCACACTTAACGGAGCTACTGAACTTGGTCTGCTAACAACAAGAGCTAACGCTAAATACGTTCAAAACATTGCCTCTTCCTCTTCTGCTCCCAGAGCATTATGGGTAGTGCAGTCCTTTTAATACAATTATTGGCACTTGACACATCAGCTTTTGAAAGGGAGACGTTTTTATAATGTGTGCAAATAAATTAGTGGTCTGCATGTCCTTCACTGGCACACATCTTTTACATAGCTCGCAGATAGGCTTAGGCTGTAATTAAGGATTTAAAATTCACTCGTCACTGGAGCTGATTAACGGGGCTCAGCGGGCATCGCTCCACCAGAAACATCCCTGAGTGCTCTGCAGATTCTACAGATTATTTAACATCTTTATAACATTCATAACTTCTTAATTCTGATAGAAAGTTAGTTAAAACCGCATTGGAAAAGCCAATCATCCGTCAACCTTTAATCGGCTTCATTCTGTCCAAACTTTAGAAGAGAGAGCAGCTGGTTTAACTCACGGAATTGAAGCACGAAATGTAAAATGTTACTCAGCAGATAATTCCTTTTAACAAGTGAGCTCATCACATTTTGGATGCGGCCTGCAGGTATCTGTGTAAGCTGTCGGACCAGGAGCTGCGGCAGAGCGCGGCGCGCAACATGGCCGACCTGATGTGGAGCACGGTGAAGGAGCCGCTGGACAGCGCGCTGTGCTTCGACAAGGAGAGCCTGGACCTCGCCTTCAAATACTTTATGTCCCCCACGCTCACCATGAGGCTGGCAGGACTCAGCCAAATCACAGTGAGTCACACTCCCAACAGGACTCCACTCAAACCGGGTCAGGCTGATTTTAACAGGTGGTCTACGAGGAGCTCGTCACAGTAGCGCCTACGCCACTGGTTCCCAACCCTTTTCCTTAAGGGACCCTTTTTCTATCATTTAGTAAACTGACTCAGTGACATATTTTATGGATATTTCATATTATATTAAAAACTGTACACTGAACCCAAACAGTGAACTCAGTAACTGCAGGAAGTTTGTAAAAAAACAGAGATTTGGATGAATTCTGAGCAGATTATTTCCTGATTAGGGAACTTTTTATACAACTGTCTGTGTTTATGTAATTTTTAATTAGTTTAAACAATCATACAGACTTAATAACAAACTTCTTTTTTGACAAATTCAGTGTTTTCTTGTCCCTGACGCTTAACCATTGTTCTATTAGACAATATACTTTTACTTTTCTTGAAGTGAACCAGATGCTGAGATATAGATCTACTGTGTAGATTTTTAAAGTTTTCGAGCACACTTTAAAACCAAGAAGGTGTCACGAACCCCCTGTAAAGTTTTGGCATCCCCTAGTAGGAGTCTCAACCCCCAGGTTCAGAACCACTGGCTTCAGCAACCAACCTAAGAGAGACCTCTGTGATTGGATTCTGGTTCTGTATCACTGTAATGACTCTGGACCTGTATCTTAAGAAGACTAGTGCTCCATTTGATTAATCTGACTTCCAATAAAGACCCCAGACACAGTTTTGAAGTCTGGATCGGTCTGTATTTCCCAGGAAACGTTGATAATTACTTTCTTTTAATTAGAAGCTTTTGCTATGGCACTGATGGGAAATATACAAGCATGTATGATGTACTGTTAATTCACTCCTCATGGAATATGTGTGTCCCTGTTTCCTCAGAACCAACTACACACCTTCAATGACGTCTGCAACAACGAGTCACTGGTGTCCGACACAGAAACGTAAGTTAGTTTAAAGAGATCCGATGCCTATGCACAAAGGCGTCCATCAAAGAGCCATGGTGTCTATTATAAAAGTAAAATGGTGTACTTTAATTCATTAATTGATGATATAATGGCATTTTATTGATATCCCCAATACTAACCGTGCAACAGTCTTCAGACCTGTCAGTTGTATTTTTAGTCATTTATGAAAGACGGTGTTCATTTTCTCATCTGTTGCATAATATAATTTACAACTTGTGCTGTTTTCTCCAAAAACTACCTTGTCCAGTTACACACTCGTATTTAAACATGTTAAATGTGAATGTAGTGTGACGAAATAACCAAAGAAGAAGGGAAAGTCACCTCTCTATATACAGTCACTAAGCACCATGTCACAGCACACACAGCCTACTAAATGATGAGTGGAAGTTTTCTGCTTTTCATACTGAGCTGCGATTACTGTGTGTGTTATTAACCTTTCTGTTTTTGCTCCGGCCCTCCAGGTCCATAGCGAAGGAGCTAGCTGATTGGCTGATCCACAACAATGTGGTGGAGCACATATTCGGACCAAATTTGCACATTGAGGTGAGACCTTTTGATCCAGTCACGTGAACTGACGGCAGATGTATTCAAAGATGTTGTGTTGCGTTTTGTAACTATATGTCATACATGTTTGAGTTGCATTGTGTTAAAATGGAGTGCGTTTTCTTAAAATTTGTCCTCCAGTTTCTTCATTTAAGGAGGTCAATTTATTTTCTCCAAGCGCTGCTGGTCTTAAGAGAGTGTGTCTGTGTGTGTCTGTGTGTGTGTGTGTGTGTGTGTGTGTGTGTGTGTGTGTGTGTGTGTGTGTGTGTGTGTGTGTGTGTGTGTGTGTGTGTGTGTGTGTGTGTGTGTGTGTGTGTTTTCCAGATCATTAAACAGTGCCAAGTGATCCTGAACTTCTTGGCTGCAGAGGGCCGACTCAGCACGCAGCATGTGGACTGTATTTGGGCAGCAGCTCAGGTAATACGGCCTAGATTTACACCTGACTGTACACGGCTTTATTCCACTCCATTAACCTGTTCGTGACTCTGTGGAACAGCACGAAGGGCTCTGCAGGGGGTATCCACAGTTTTGGCTGCGTTGCTTTATTTGGAGTTATGATATTTTGTCTTTTTTAACAATTATTAATAGATTAATAGATCATGTCGGTGTGAACATTTTAATTGTAGATGTGTCCTATAAACACACTTCTCAGTCGAAATAGCTTGTTTTTTGTACATTTCTGGATGTTTTTATGAGAATATATAAGTATATGATTTGTTAATCAGTAAACAATTTAGTTTTCTCTCCGAATGAAACAATAAATACATTATTAATATAGTTACTAGTTAGTGTGGATAAATGTATCACTGCTTTGCAGTTGGTTAGATTGTTGATTAGAGTACAGCTGAATTAATGATAATATTTTTAATATGTTGCTTTTACCCATATTAAGTTCATTATTTATTATTAATTTTAAAATATTATATATAGACCATATTTAAAGTTACGTTTTCTGCTGTCCAAATCTGAAATAATGAATCCGACTTTTTGTTTATATTTTAGCTGAAACACTGTAGCCGTTACATCCACGACCTTTTCCCTTCACTCATCAAAAACCTGGACCCAGTGCCTCTCCGCCACGTCCTCAACCTGGTGTCAGGCCTGCACCCCAGCGCACACACCGAGCAGGTACACGTTCGCACACAGCCTCAATATTAACTTAAAACAACCCACTGTGATTGTATTTTAAGGTGTTGCTAAACGCTTGTGTGCCTCCCTCGCTCCTCAGACGTTGTACCTGGCCTCCATGCTGATCAAGGCTCTGTGGAACAACGCCCTGGCAGCCAAAGCCCAGCTCTCCAAACAGAGCTCCTTCGCCTCCCTGCTCAACACCAACATCCCCATGGGCAACAAAAAAGGTCAGTCTGGGTTTGTGTGTAATATTTAAAATGTCTCTGCAGCAACATTAGTTTTTATTTTCTCTTGACACATCGGCAGTGGTGGAAGAAATATTCAGATCTTTCCTTAAATTAAAAGTACCAAAATACCACAGTGCAGAAATACTCTGTAAATCCTGCATTCAAGATTACTAGATTACATTCAAGATACTTCAGTACAAAAAGTCTTCTGCAGAATGTCCCATTTCAGAATAATGTATAGTATATTATATATTATGAGTTATTAATCAATTTGTATTTCTTTTACAAGTAGGATAAAGGGAAATATATCAGAATTTTGTAATACATCCGTATGTTGACAATAAAATAACCTTGAATCCTTTGATTAAAAATCAGGAATTACTGGATTGTAATTATTAATTCATTAATGTGATTATCACTTTAATGTTGCAGCTGATAAAGGTGGTTAGGGTTAGGTTAGGTTTATACTTCTGGGTAGGTTGTGATTTTCTATGTGGTGATTAATAAAGCCTTTTCTTATCTTAAAATAAATATATATATATATATATTATATATATATATATATATATATATATATATATATATATATATATATATATAATTAATTAATTTATTTGTTGGTCATATTTTGTATTATTAAACTGAATCTGCCTTAAATGATCAAATAAATCCAAATTCTGAGTAAAAAGTAAAAAATTTCTGTCTGAAATGTGGTGGAGTAGAAGTATAAAGTAGCAGAACAGGAAAATACTCAAGTAAAGTTTCTCAGAATTGTACATTTACTTGATTGAGTCACTCCATGAGTGCACTTGCAGCCTGTGAGAGTGGCAGCGACTCCTCCTTAAATAGACGCAGTGTCGAAGCAACAGATGAGGCTTCACAGACGGCGTGCATCCTTCCTGCTCTGGCCTCTGCGCCACTACTGCGGGTGTCAACTGTGAATGTTTGTGTGGCAGGTTTGAATTCCTTCTCACAGGAAGTTCTCCGTCTGTCTACTTGTCTGGTCTCAGGTTCACCAGCCGCCAGTCCGGACAGCAGTGACAACAGCGACACGCAGCACAGCGGAGGCAGCGACATGGAGATGGACGACCAGATGATGACCGGCAGCAAGAGGAGCCAGCAGAGGCTGTCTGACACAGAGGTACACGCAGTTTAAAGTGTATTTTGTTTATTTAAAATGCTTGATGGAGAATAAATCATTTAAACCAGGGCTGCTGCTGGTATTGTAATAATCTTGCTGGCTGGATTATGTTAGATTTTGATATCATGTTGCAGGCTGGAGGGCACAAACCTCCATAAGATGCCTTAAGACATTTCAGATATTTAAACCGGAGCTCTGACCTCTGACTGACTGTCACGCTGAAGACTTATAATATAATATAATATAATATAATAATGGTTTGTTGTGGCTGTTTGTTCAGGAGTCGATGCAGGGCAGCTCTGATGAGACGGCCAACAGCGTGGAGGAAGGCAGCAGCGGGCCCGGCAGCAGTAGCGGCCGCAGCGAGGCCTCCAGCAACGAAGCCGCATCCAGCCGAGCCAGCCAATCAGCCGGGAGCCCCGGCAGCGAGATGCACTCAGACGACATGGCGGACAGCGAGGCCTTAAAGGAGGAGGAGGAGGACGATGAAGAGGAAGACGACGAGGAGGACGATGACGACGATGAGGAGGACGAAGACGAGGGGAACCGGTCGGCTGCCGAAGGCGGGCAGCAGAAGGAGCCCAGGGAGCAGACGGAGTCGAGGAAGAGGAAGGCGGGGGAGGCGCTCGGCGAGGGGTCGAGCCAGGGAGCGGGGCCCAGTGGTTCAGGGGGCGGGGCCAAGCCCAAGGTTCTCCCCTTCAACCCAGAGACTTCTGCTGTCATGGTTACGGCAGCATCAACGTCACTGGAGGGCCGGATGAGGATGTTGGACTCGTGTTCTGCGTCGTCCTCCACTCGGCCCGATGGGACGGAGCCCCAGCAGCAGCCCTCAGACATCGGCCCCTCACAGATGGTCCAGGGGCCTCAGGAACCTCCGTGCCTGCCGCGGCCCGGGGACTTCCTGGGGGAGGCCATGGGCAGTGAGCTCTTCAACTGCCGGCGCTTCATTGGCCCACAGCACCACCACCATCACCATCATCACCACCACCATCATGAAGGGTAAGGCCACCACTCTAGGGATGGCTCCATACTCAATACATTCGTTCCATCCCTACTCAACACCGCTCTCTGCTGTCCGATACTGCGACCTCGAATATCTGCCGATACCAATCTGATTCCCCTCTGATAAACAACTAAACTCTTAATAATACATTTGAATGAATGCACTTTGTTTACCTTCTATAAAACCCCGTACTGTGAAACTCACTTGGAACCTTTTAGCTGCATCTTTGATTGGTTCAAACATTCAGAACAATATTTAAATAAATTGCATTAATACACAAACTGCACTCAGCTGTTTTTTCTTCCTCGAGCTTAAAATAACTTCAGACAGCCGACGTGACGACAGCGACGCTGACAGGTCTCACTTACATTACACATACTCCTCATCTGTGTCTTCTCTCTTTACAGCTCGCTGCTCAAAGTTTAGTTAAGCCTTTACGTCCTAGTTTAGGCTGATAGATAGCATTGGATTATTTCTTTATTTTCACCCTGATGTCCGATGCAGGGGTAGTATCAGCACACCAACTGTCTAAAGTCTTGGCCAGAGGACAGTTGGAGGCTGCGGCGCTCATCGTAAATGTTGAACAAGATACTGGTTGTTTTACTGAGTACTACACATGACTACACATGATCAGTGGAATCACAGAATACAGAGGTTTATTCCACTAATGTGCAGCAGGTAGCAAGAAAATACCAGAAAATCTGGGTAAAAAAACAACACACTTTGTGTTTCAAAAGAAGGCATTGGCAGTTATTGAGTTTAAAATCAATCACTTTTATTTCGCTTGAAACTTTTTCATCACAGGTTGCTCTCAGGTTGAATTAAGGAGAACTATGATTTAATGGACAAGAACTGAGCGAAGTAGTTAATCATCTGGGGGCGCTCGAATGTGCTCGGGAAATGTCATCACAATCTGTCAGTTAGATTATGAGATATATTATGTGCAGAGCTGACATTTGGCTTTGAGATAGTGTTTCCTCTGGGGAACATGAATGTGTTCTATCTAGCAGTCGGTTTCTAATGTTGCCTTTCTGTTTAAAAAAGGCAGCTGTGATGTTCACATTGTGATAGAGCTGGTTGATCAATCTGCCTCTCTGCCTCCTTTTCTAAAACCCTCCCCGTCCTCCTCTTCCTCCTGCTTCAGTCCCATGGTGGAGGACATGCTCAGCGCCGACGATGTGAGCTGCAGCAGCTCCCAGGTCAGTGCCAAGTCGGAGAAGAACATGGCCGACTTCGACGGCGAGGAGTCGGGCTGTGAGGAGGAGCTGGTCCAGATCAACTCCCATGCTGAGCTCAGCTCACACCTCCAGCAGCACCTCCCCAACCTGGCCTCCATCTACCACGAGCACCTGGTGCAAGGTGAGCCGCACTCAAGGCCTTAAAAAGTTCCGAAATGTGAATATTCTGACCTATATGACCGGTTGTTTCCACTATTAGTTGTTGTGTTCAATCATTAATTCTAAGTCGTGTGCGCTGTAATCTCTGCAGGTCCGGCTGTCCATAAGCACCAGTACTCCAGCAGCCACGCTGTGACTGACATCAACCTAGACAACGTTTGTAAGAAGGGCAACACGCTGCTGTGGGACCTGGTCCAGGACGAGGACGCGGTATGACGTCTCTTCTCTTTATGAACATATCTCAGTGTTCTTAATTTCACATGTTAGCAGACTGTACTTTAACAACAACAAAAAATTTACACATAAAATAAAATAACAGTCTATAAACTTTAACAGGGTGGTTTTTTTTTTTTGGGGTTTTGTTATGGGGGGAGGCCCTGTTGTGTATTCTAACTGTTGGCTAAACATGGATTTAAGCTGTATTCGAAAAATAGAATATGAAATTGAACAATAAAAAACATTTTTTTTTAAACCCCCCCCAAAACCATTTTTAAGTGCTTTACAAAATACAATATGTGAAAGTAGACATCATAAAGTAAGAATGCTAAAAGTTACACATACAATAAAATAATAATATAAAACAAAATAAAGCGATAAAATAAATAAAAGAAAAAAAATTTTATTAGACATTAAAAAGTCAAAGTTTAACTTTTACAGAACAGAATATTTAAATGCTTGTACACAATATTAATTATTGAGTTTGTTCATCAAGATTCATTAAAATGATCAAAGTGTCTCTCATCTCAGAAGCAACATGAACAAAATAAAAGGCCTTTTTAAGGAGTCCATCAGAGGAGAAAGGCTGCAGTTCAGCCTCAGTGTGATCTCACGTTTAATTTCTGTGTGTGTTTTCAGATTCATCTGTCCGAGGGTCTGATCAATGAAGCAGAAAAGCTGTTGTGTTCACTCGTCTGTTGGTTCACTGACAGACAGATCCGAATGCGCTTCATCGAGGGTTGCCTTGACAACTTAGCCCACCACAGGTACGGCGGACCCCCGCCAGAACAACCGGTCTGATTCCATCCAGGGTTTCCACTCATAGGAGGAATGTCTGAAAGCTGAACAACACTGTGATTTAATTGTGTTGAACATGCAGGAGGAGATTCATTCTTCTTCAGCCTTCGAGCATAAATAACACATTTCATGATCCAATCTGCAAATATAAAGTCAAACAGAGTAAAAAATAAGGGTGAAATAAACTAAACATGGAATTTTGACTAGTTATTAACTCCTATCTCTTCATCTACCTGCAGGTCTGTTGTGGTTTCCTTGCGCCTGTTACCCAAACTTTTTGGCACTTTTCAGCAATTTGGCTCCAGCTACGACACCCACTGGATCACCATGTAAGTAACATTTCCTACATCATTTCTTGTTTTTGTATCATAGCAACCAAGTTCAGATTAATGTGTTTAGCAGCTGCTGTGCTTCAAGCTGTATATTGAACCTCTGTTGTTTACAGCAGACCTACTAAACTTTATATTGCCAGTTTGAAGAAGCTCCTAAACCATCTTATTTCACGAGTGTTACTGACTGTTGCTTGTCGGGTCCGTCAGGTGGGCTGAGAAGGAGCTGCACATGATGAAGCTGTTCTTCGACAACCTGCAGCACTACATCCAGGAGGTCCGGGAACACCGGCACAAGTTTGCACTGTGAGTCCGTCACACACTCTCCCGGTTCAACAGTGACACCAATACTTACATGTCGCTCCAAAAGAATCACAGTTAAACCCGAACCGAGGTGAAGTTAAATTGCTGTGAGGAATGTATCCTGATGTTATGACCATCACCACCCATGTGACAGGAGCAACACATTTTAAATTGAACGTTATGGATTTCAGTAAGATCAGTAATAGTAATACTGACGTGTCTCCCTTTGATGTGTTGTTGCAGGTACAGCCACAGTGCGGAGGTCCAAGTCCGTCTGCAGTTCCTCACCTGCGTCTTCTCCACACTGGGATCTCCAGACCACTTCAGTAAGAATCTGCTTCTTTTTTTTTTTTTTAATCTTGAGGCTTCACAAACCAATGGTTGACGTATCGATAGGTTCACACTATAACTTTATGCAAACTTTTTATATGGTTATGACTTTTAACATTAAAGGTTCAGTTAATTCAAAACCTATATCTTGTTACATGAAGTCACACAGTGGGTATCAGGTTTATGTGTCAAAGTTTTGAAATGAATGAAAACAATTTGAGAACCAATACAACAGAATATTACAGACACAACAAGATCTAAACCTATATGTCTGCACTGTGTATGGCCAATGTGCTCCTGAGGGTGTAACTGAGGACTGTAAGCAGCTATTCATTTTGAAAGAGCAACAGCCAATGGGGAAACTCCAACAGTCGACCGACCAATGGTGTAACTTCATCACTCATGCAGTCAGTCAGGGACTTACAGGGCTGCGGTCCAGCCTGAAATGTCCTTGTTTAGCTTATAATGATAATAATTATTATTATAATTGTTGCTCTCAAGAACACGGCCAAGTACATTTTAAGTCTCATGTTGTAGTGAAAGAGAGTTAAAAAAAAATCACACTGACAACTCAAAATAGTTCAAGTTGCTTTGAAAAACATCCAGCAGCAGTTTAAAGTGGATGTTATTTTTAGTGAATCGACTTAAATGTACATAAAACAGGTCTGCAGTTGTTTGGCTTGGCGTTGCCAACCCAGCTGTATTTTCCTAAGAGAAGCACTAGTTTGGAAATGAATGAGTGTTTTCTCTCTGTGTCTTTGGGGAACGATGCTAAAATAGACCACATTATGCAACCCGAGCTGCCCCACTGAGAACAATGTTCCCGTTGTCTCTGTGTGACAGAAAATGATGTAACACTGATGAGGAGAAAATATAACTTGTTTCTAGTAGTATTTTACCAGATTTAGCCGGTTTGATCGCCCACCCATAAATATCTGCGTGATCTCTTGTTTTTGTCTGGAGCCGGTTCCTGACACACTGATGGTAAAGTCTCAGAACCGAAGTCAGTATTTCCTCGTGGAACTTGGCGAGTTTAAGTCTGGAACATCAGGGAATTAAACGGATGTGTGCCTGTACAGTAGTACACTGTCACATATTTACCTGTTTACTGGTATAGAAACCCAATATTAACATTTTGTGTTTCCTCCTTTCTTTGTTTTCAGTCTCTCTGAGTCTTTGTGTAAAATTGAAAATGTCATAAACTTTCAATGTAGTAACAGATCCCCACTGAATTACACACAAAGAGACCCTTGATTAGAAATATTCTTGCATAAGTAAAACAGTGATTCCCAACCTATTTTACTTGTGAACTCCTTAAAATCAGGCAGAAGTCACTTTTAATGTAGCAGCTTATGGTTGTAGTGTGGTAGAGTGATTTTTCCTTGATTTTAAAGTGGAAAACAAAGTGGTGTTTTTAAGGGGACTTTTCATTTGTCTGTCAAGATTCAAGATTCTTGCATCTTGACAGACAAGTTAAAAGTCCCCTTAAAAAAAACACCTGTCTGTGTTGTATTAAATATCGAAGAGGTGGAGTGAGTCTGTCTTCCTGTTTGATTGAGCTCCTGTGTGTAATTTTGCTCCTGTGTTTCCGTCTCTCAGGGCTGAGTCTGGAGCAGGTGGACATCCTGTGGCACTGCCTGGTGGAGGACGTCGAGTGCTACGACGACGCGCTGCACTGGTTCCTCAATCAGGTCCGCAGCAAGGACCAGCATGCTATGGGCATGGAGACCTACAAACATCTGTTCCTGGAGAAGGTAAGGGACAAGGAGGAATATCTTGGGACAAGCTAGGATCAGGTTTTTGAGTTGGAGTATCCTGGATATGTTAGACACCCTAACCTGGTTTCAGAAAGCTGGATATACTACCTGGAGCACTCTAGCAGAGACCAGAACAATGAACTGTGTGTGCTGATGTTGGTTGGTTTGTGTGTGTTTGTGTGTTAATGTTACACTGTGTGTGTGTGTGTGTGTGTCCGTGTGTGTCCGTGTGTGTCCGTGTGTGTCCGTGTGTGTGTGTGTGTGTGTGTGTGTGTCCGTGTGTGTGTCCGTGTGTGTGTCGTGTGTGTGTGTGTGTGTGTGTGTGTGTGTGTGTGTGTGTGTGTGTCCAGATGCCCCAGCTGAAGCCAGAGACTATCAGCATGACGGGCCTCAACCTCTTTCAGCACCTCTGTAACTTGGCCCGCCTCGCCACCAGTGCTCTGGACAACGCCTCCAGCTGTGAGGTAAGCAAACTCAGAGTTCCCACGCTTCCTGGAAAAATAATAAATACATTTAACTGGCAGACCTTTTTTTTATTATTATACTTTATTATGAGAGCAGTTTGTATTACAGAGCAGAAGCCAGGGCATTGAGTGTTTTTAAACTGGCAAACCTTCAATAACTTTATTAGAGCCTGCAGGATTTTTGAGACTGATGCTGATACCAATGTAGTGAATTCTTGAGCTGTAATCGACCTTTTCTACGTAGATTATGCACCGGTCCAAGTGCTTTTCTCAGTCCAGTATGTAGACAATCGGATTATTTGAGAGCTACACTGACATGTTACAAGTTCTCATATTAGCTTTAGTGAAATCAGAGTAGACAGACAGTTAACTCACAGCCTGTGTGTTTCCAGCTGTGTGGGATGGACCAGCTGTGGGGGATCGCTCTGAGAGCTCAGTCTGCCGATATCAGCCGCGCCGCCATCCAGTACATCAACTCCTACTACATCAACGGTTAGTTTACCTCCATCATTTACACACAGTGTGCAGACCTTTAATGCAAATATATTGACTTTCATATATTCAGTGTTTTTACAGACTCACTCTTAGAGCACAAAACTATTTTTAATGTCAAAGTGACATGGACTTTTTTTAATTCTGCCTCCTGTCTTTGTGTGTCTTGTCGTGTCTCCAGCTGGTAAGACGGGCCTGGAGAAGGAGCAGGAGTTCATCAGGAAGTGTATGGAGAGTCTGCTGATGGCTTCAGCCAACCTGGAGAAGGACGCCCTCTCCAGCCTGACCAGCATCGAGAGGGGGTTGCTCATGCTCAAAACACACCTGGAGGCCTTCCGACGCAGGTACACAACACCCAGGAACTTTCATGTAAATGCCGACTGTACTTAAACACATCTCAACGACACATTGTTTCCTGTCCCTGTCAGGTTTGCGTACCACCTGCGGCAGTGGCAGATCGAGGGGACGGGGATCAGCAGCCACCTGAAGGCTCTGAGCGACAAACAGTCTCTGCCGCTCAGGATCGTCTGTCAGCCCGCCGGCCTTCCTGACAAGGTGACAAATTTACATTTGACACGACAAAGCCACCAATGAGTTGCAGCTCTGACCTAAAGGGCTTTTTAGAGGTGTCTGAAATTACACATTTACTCACTGATTGGAATAGGGTAAGGAATATATTTCAAACAAAATACAACTGGTCTCACATCAGAAGTTAGAATCGTATATTGTGTTCTTATTTGTTCATGAGAGTCATCAACATAATTAGAGGAAAAATAGTCATCTTTCATCTTTTGTATGTGATGAAAATCATTGTGAGTGCAATTCTAAAACCACAGCCTCCATTTATTATTATCCAATCATTCATGTGATTATGTAACCTTAATCTTCCTTAAAGCATCCCGGCCTCACACCTGCAGGGCCCAGAACAAATTGTGGTGAAAAGCCCTCATGTATGCTGTGTGTCTTTGCAGATGACGATTGAGATGTACCCCAGCGACCAGGTAGCAGACCTGCGAGCTGAGGTCACCCACTGGTACGAGAACCTGCAGAAGGAGCAGATGAACCAGCAGGCTCAGCTGCAGGAGTTCGGCCAGAGCGGCCGGCAGCCAGGAGACTTCCCAGGTCGGCTCACGCTGACTCTCCCCTCGTTATTGTTTACTTACAGATAACTGTCAGCAGTTTGTTTGAAGCTGGTTTTTGTGAGCTTGTGTGTGAATTCTGTCTCTGCTGCTGCAGGTGGTTTGATGGGACCAGTCAGGATGATCTCCTCCGGCCACGAGCTGACCACAGACTACGACGAGAAGACTCTGCATGAGCTGGGCTTCAAAGACATGCAGGTGAATGCCTGGTTCCATTCCTTGTGTCTGTCAATATCTAAAAGATTACCAACCAGACGGCACAGTTTGGTTGGGGATTCCTTTTTGTCCAAAAAAACCCCCCAAAGGTTTTACTGTCATTTGAAATGCACAAACGCAGACGAATCATCACTGCGTCATGTTTGTCTGTTTGTTCCCAGATGGTGTTTGTGTCTCTGGGAGCTCCGCGGAGGGAGAGGAAGGGGGAGGGCATCCAGCTGCCGGCCTCCTGTCTGCCTCCTCCCCAGAAGGAGCACATCCCGATGCTCCTGCTCCTCCAGGAGCCGCACCTCACCACACTGTTCGACCTGCTGGAGATGCTGGCCTGCTTCAAACCGCCCAGCCCCAACACCGAGAAGGTCCACGAAAATCCTGAGGTGGGTGTTTTTGCCCGGCCGTGTTACAGTAGAAGGGTTACCTACAACTTGTAATGACTGCAAAAAAATAAAATAAATAAAGGATTGTTCAAATAAAAGGATTGTGTGTGTGTCCGTGCAGAGTGCACGGTGTGAGGAGCTTCACCTCCATGCTGAGAATCTGTCTCGTCGGGTCTGGGAGCTGCTGATGCTCCTTCCCACGTGTCCCAAGATGCTGCAGGCCTTCCAGAACATCTCTGACGACGCGGTCAGTCACCACTCTCACCATACAACTTTCACCAGTTAACGGCAGAATAACTGAACAATAAATTCTGGTGTCAGTCCCTCACAAAGAGAAGGGGTTTATTTCTTTTGAACCAACATTCAACAAGCATACCCAGAGAAGAGGAAATGCAGAGTTTGATGAACTACGCAGTCACAAATTCAAATTGTTCTTCTGTCAAGCACTGTATGACTGAACTGTTTTTGTATGTGTGTGTAGAACGGTGAGGGTCTGTGCTGGAAGGAGCTGCTGAGGATAAAAAGTCCCCACAAGCTGCTGTACGCTCTGGAGATCATCGAGGCTCTGGGCAAACCCAACAGACGCATCCACCGGGAGTCCACTGTGAGAAAAACACAGATATCTGTACAGTCTTTACTTTGTACAGTGTGAAGGCAGGAAAACAGAGTTGATAATAAAGGCTGATACTGATTGATCAGTGATACTTCATATTGGCTGATAAATGTTGGAAACCTGATTATCATTCTGTCACTTGAATTAGACATATTTTTCTTACTCTTGTACATACGTGTGTGTGTGTTTCCAGGGCAGCTACAGCGATCTGTATCCAGACTCTGACGACTCCAGTGAGGATCAGATAGAAAACAGCAAGAACACGTGGAGCTGCAAGGTACAACACATCATCTGTGACGAGATAAACCACATCGACCTGCTGTTTAACAGTTTCCTCCTTTAAGACATTAACCGTCTTTAAAATATGAGTAGTTCAAGTAAAGATGTTAATAAAACAGCAATCTTTTTCTTTCTCTCCTCCAGTTTGTTTCGTCTGGAGGTCTTCAGCTGCTCCTGGAGATCTTCAACTCGGGCATCCTGGAGCCTAAAGACCAGGAGTCCTGGACTGTGGTGAGAGAGACTAGAACCCTTTGAATTAAAGTTTTAACTTTAGTGCAAAGATTAAAAAAATTCTCAGCTGGTTTGGGTTCGTTCACACAATTTTTAAAGTGCGAGTAGAAGGAATGATTTGATTTTGGAACAAAGATCTTCATGTGCGACCCGTCTCCTCTGCAGTGGCTGCTGGACTGCCTGGCCTGCCTGCTGAAGTTGATTTGCCAGTTTGCGGTGGACCCCGCAGACCTGGACCTGGCCTACCACGACGTCTTCTCCTGGTCCGGCCTCGCCGAAAGCCAACGCAAGCGGGCGTGGCCGGGCAAATCACGCAAGTCCACCGTAGAGCACGGGAAAGGCCTGCACATCCCTCGGCTCACTGAGGTAAATGTTGCCCCAGCTGGAGGAACGAACGGAGCAGCAGCGATTATCTTAGACTGGGACTGGGACTTGATTATCTGTCTGTTGGTTTGCAGGTGTTCCTCAGCCTCGTACAGGGCACCAACCTCATCCAACGTTTGATCAACGTGGCCTACACCTACGACAACCTCGCACACAGGTGACAAAATACAGGAGTACAAAACACATTCTTCTGTTATTTAAAATATGACGTATATAATATACATGTTGTCTTTTCTTTAACAGAGTTCTTAAGGCTCAGTCTGACCACAGGTCTCGTCATGAAGGTGAGAACTTATTTTTATAGTCTAAAGTCCAATAATCTGGGTTTACAGCCTTAAAATGTCTTAAATATGACTTTAGGTCTTAGACCTGATGACATGACTGTGGCGTTTCATTTTCTTCCATAAGTGACTCACTACTCCATGTGGCTGCTGGTGAGCTGGGCTCACTGCTCCTCCACGGTAAAGTCCAGTCTGGCCGACAGCGACCACCTTCACGACTGGCTGAAGAAACTCACCCTGCTGGTGCCTGAGGTGAGCCAGTCCAAACATCCACACAGAAAGCAACCAGATTCACCTGCCAGCACCTCCAAAGCTCACTAATGAACACTTTATAACTCATTGTTAAAGGTCCAGTGTGTGACAGTTCACGCCTCTAACACACCAATTCTCGCTCCCTCCCGGTCTTTCACATGATGCATACAATGATGACTAAAACAACAAACGAAGACAAGGGCATGTTTGCATGTTGCACCGATGCTCCTAGCTATACAATTTTGGAGCATTCTCTCCAAAACTGTGGAGCCCTGATAACAAAAATAAGTCTGAGCCCATGTTTATCTTTACCTTGATGTCATCTTACCTGTATGAACACCACAGTAGAGCATAGGCAAAGATTAAGTTACAGCGAAATTTCTACTCGTGAAACAAAAGACTTCTCAACTGTGGTTCAGATCCAAGAAACTGATTATAGAAGTTTACTAAACGCTTGTATCAGTTTGTTGTCTGACGTGTTGTTGTTGTTGTTGTTTTCAGCCGGCTGTCAGACACGAGGCGTGTAACGGCCTCTACAAGCTCTCTCTGTCGGGGTTGGAGGGCGGAGAGTCCATCAACAGATCCTTCCTGCTTCTCGCTGCCTCCACGCTCCTCAAGTTCCTGCCTGACGCACAGGCCCTCAAACCACTGAGGGTGGGTCCCTCACACACACACACACACACACACACACACACACACACACACACACACACACACACACACACACACACACACAAGCTGAACCTCATGGAAGAAAATACACATACACAGGAAACTCATCTGCAAACTACACTCTGTGTCAATAGCCCTCTGGGGCAATGATATGACTCAATTTGAGCTTTGCTACAGTGAAACCAGTTTGTTTCTGAGACATTTTCCCTTTGGTGGGACTAATGCTGGAGACACTGGGACACACTCTGATTATCGTTGGTTTTAAAGGTGCCCTGTGGAGTTTTCTTGTAAACTAAGTTATTACTCACTAAGAGTCATTGTGTAAATCCCTGAGGTCAAACAAATATTTTCCTGCCTCCATAAAACATTTGCAAACACTTTAAATCTTGGGCCCATTTTACTCCTAGCCTAGTGTCCTCTCTAAACCTTTAGCTCAAAAAAGACTGACGACGTCTCTCAGCTTCTCGTTGCTATAACTGGCTGGAAAGAGTTTCAAAAACCTGCATTGCAGAATCAATCCAAGTATTTATGGCGGTGACATGTGGAAGTTGTGTGCCGTCGTACCATATAACGTTGCTCTGGACATCCATTTTCAATGTTTTATCTTTCTCCGTGTTATAAAGTGACCTGTTCTTTCAAAGCATCATTTCAGGTGATGCTTGTCCTTGAAGTAAGTAGCATAGCGTGCGGAACCCACCACAAAAACTAGGGCAACAGACGCTCACTGACGGTGTGTCAGGGCCTTAATTCCCCCCCCTAAGACCTAAGCCCTGACTCAGCACAGACTTAGCTGACGTCACATAGTAAGTGCTTGAGTGTGAGATGCTGCGAAAACAAACATTGAAGCCCCCCAAGTCTTCACAAACTTTATCAATCTTTTATCAAAATATGCAGAATGTGTGTGCTTTGCTACCAACGAGGGAGTCTGATGATTACACGTGTGTCCGCAGGTGGAGGACTATGAAGAGGAGCCTCTGTTACGGACGGGCTGTAAAGAATACTTCTGGCTGCTCTGTAAACTCATCGACAACATCCACGTTAAAGACGCCAGCCAGGTGGGAGCCACAGTTCTGTCGCTTCACTTTATTATTGCTGTGATGTGTCATTGAGCTGTTGCTAGTATTGGTCTGTTTGAACTCACAGAAGGTCTCTCCCTCTCTGTCGCTGGCCGGCTCGATGCAGACCACCCTGCTGGACCTGGACGCTCTCGCCCGGCACCTCGCCGACTGCATCAGGAGGTCAGACAGTCAAATACTGAATACAGGAGCTTTTTATAAGCGGATCTGGGTTGATAGTTTGGTGTATTGACCGCCTGCAAGTGCTTTATTGTAGGTTTATTTCTATTTTGAGGAGGGTTAGTGCCGCCCTTTCTTTTGGGTATGTGTAATCTGTTTCATATCATATTATGTTGTTCTCAACAGATGACAAAAACCAGAAACAGTTTATGAAATGTTTACTATACATGTAAAAGTTTATATTGCATTGATTTAAATGTCAAACTTTGACGCCTGGCAAGACGGGTTCTTGCATGAGTCCAGCTGCGTCACAAGGCTAAAGTTTAACACCAACCCGTCATGACCTCCGTGTTCTTCTCTCCTCCAGCCGTGAGATCCTGGACCAGCAGGACGGGACGATCGAGGACGACGGGCTGACCGGCCTCCTGCGTCTCGCCACCAGCGTCCTCAAACACAAGCCTCCCTTCAAGTTCTCCCGCGAGGGTCAGGAGTTCCTGCGGGACGTCCACAACCTCCTTTTCCTCCTGCCCAGCCTGGCAGACCGCGCTCAGCCCAAATGCAAGTCCCACGCTGCCCGGGCCGCCGCCTACGACCTGCTGGTGGAGACGGTGAAGGGCTCGGTGGAGAACTACCGGCTGCTCCACAACTGGGTTATGTCACAGCACATGCAGGGTGAGGACGCTGGCAGCTACACTTTATTACCTGGTCAGTTTGTTACGAGGTAGACGAGACATTTCCACCCCCAAGAAAACTGAGCGCGTCACTTACATTTATTGGACCAAGTACGTACTGTATTGCAGTTTGCTTCAACTTCAAAGTTCATGCAACACCACATTACCACATTTGTTTTTATTTAAATGAAACTTTTACAAATTGAACTTAATTTGAATTAACTTTATTTTGATGTAATAAATAAGCTCTTCTCAGCAATTTTGTTGTAACCTTATTTCCATATCAGGCAACCCCCGAGTTCTGGAAAGAATGCAGTAAATATTTCATCATTTTCAACATTATACCACAGGTCATGTATTCATGGCAAGTATCCAGAAACAACAGCTCTATATTCTTTAAAGTATGGAAATACTGCATCCAAATGCAAACTCCTATCACTTATAATCGCCTCAGTTGCATGCAGAAAATGAAAGGCAGTTTTACTTTGACCTTTAAAGGTCACATTCATTAATTTTTTGTCCACTAGGTGACGTTAAAACAAGCAGACTGACACACATCTTATAAAACATTTACACATTGACCGACACAACAAATAAAGCAACATCATCATTTATTTGCAGTTTCTGTCCACCTGATGTATAAAAGTTGAGTATTCAGTTGATTATTACAGTAGTGCAAGCTACACTCTGTGTCAGAAGTCTTCTGAGACGATGATCTGACTCAATTTGAGCTTTGCTACAGTAAATTCAGTCTGTCTCTCTGAGTCATTGTCCTTCTGGTGGGATTAATGCTGGAGACACTGGGACAGCCTGTGCAGTCAGTGAACTGTACAGTAAACATGATTTAAAACTACGAGCTAAAAAATAGCTGAAAACTGTAGAGTTGGTGATATATCTCTGTTTCATCATCAAAAATATCTTCCGTTATTCTTCCTCTAGCCTCTCACGCCCCGTACAAGTGGGACTACTGGCCTCACGACGACGTTCGGGCCGAGTGCCGATTCGTGGGTCTGACTAACCTGGGAGCAACCTGTTACCTGGCCTCCACCATCCAGCAGCTCTACATGATCCCCGAGGCCCGCCAGGCCGTCTTCACGGCCAAGGTCAGTAACCTGCGAGACAAACTGACGGCAGAGCACAGCAGGAAAGCACAATTCACCTTAAAGACAGAGTGTAGATTCTCATTTTGTGTGTGTGTGTGTGTGTGTGTGTGTGTGTGTGTGTGTGTGTGTGTGTGTGTGTGTGTGTGTGTGTGTGTGTGTGTGTGTGTGTGTGTGTGTGTGTGTGTGTGTGTGTGTGTGTGTGTGTGTGTGTGTGTGTGTGTGTGTGTGTGTGTGTGTAGTACGCTGAGGATATCAAACACAAGACCACGCTGCTGGAACTGCAGAAGATGTTCACATATCTCATGGTGAGTTTTCCGTTTATACCTCCAACTGTCCTTTTCATCGTCCTCTACTTTGGATTTTGCGAATGACAAATGTAAATCAAAGAAAGCAGAGTAGCTTGATGTCAGAGTTTTGTTTTGAATTAAAAGCATTAATACTTTAAAGAGTACCACTTGTTTTAAGCTGAAAACCTATGTAACTGTAACTGACCTCCTATAGTGATTGTCCTCTGCTTCTTTTTTTTAATTTTCTGGGGGTAGGGGGCTAGTGGAATTTAGGGGGTGCACTTACACTTTCACATTTCAAACAGCTGCCCTTGATTCAAGTGCAGTTTTGTTTTTGACTCGTTGTGTGGCCGTTGTTAAAAATGGCACAATATTGAAGACCAAAGAAAATAGCTTGAACTCACAGGAAAGAAAAAATCCATAAAGTACCAAAATGTTGTTTCTCCATTGTTTTTTTTTTTTAGCTGTGTAGTTTGTCACAGACACTCTGTAGACAGTTTGATGACAATGTTTAAGTCTGAATTACAACTGTTGCATCTAAAATTTCCTCTTCCTCCTCTGTCTGCGTGTCTGTCCAGGAGAGCGAGCGGAAAGCGTACAACCCCCGGCCGTTCTGTAAAACGTACACTATGGACAAACAGCCTCTCAACACTGGGGAGCAGAAAGACATGACCGAGTTCTTCACCGACCTCATCACAAAGATAGAGGAGATGTCCCAGGAGCTGGTAAAAACACACACACACACACACACACACACACACACACACACACACACACACACACACACAACAAACCTAAAAAGAACCCTGATATTTAACTGAATTTAGTACTTTGCAATTAAAGGAATAAAAACAAACAAAGATACACACACACAAACAACAATGATAACCAACCAAATTGATATCTTTTACATGTTTAAAGGTCTAGTGAACATTTAGGAGCATCTATTGGCAGAAATATTATGGTTTTTTTTCTTTTTAGTGTATAAGCACCCAAATATAGGAAACATTAATGTTTTCAAGACTTTTACATCTGACGATGCTGCGGATCACCTTCCGTGCAGTCCGCCATATTGAACCACCATGTTTCTACAGTAGGGACAAACCAAACACTGGCTCTAGATAGCGGCGTTTTTCGCACATTTCACAGCCACCGTAGTTTCTCCTTCGTGCTTGGAAGAGAGAGATTTAAAGTGCACACACTGGACCATTTTAAACAGCACGAGTTCAACATCTCGACAAAGTCTGAATGAAAATGTGATTTAATGAATGTGTCCGTTCTAACAGAAAAACACAGTGAAGACTCTGTTTGGAGGTGTCATCACCAACAATGTGGTCTCTCTGGTGAGTTTGAGGAGATTTTATTTAAAATGAGGAATTTTACGATTTGTGTGACCATAAAGAAGCTCTAAACCTCTGAGCTTCTTTTTATTGAATTGTCTCAATCCTGTTTTAATATCTGCTTTAATTCCCTTTTATATGTAGAATTTCATCTTTATTTGTATTTTTATTCTTTGTTTTATTTTATATACCCTTTATCGCCAAGTGCTTGCTCATGGTGGAACTGTTGGGTCTCTATATATATATATATATATATATATATAAATAATGTTATAAGGAGTTCGGTCTAGACCTGTTCTATTTGGAAAGTGTCCTGAGGTAACTTCTGTTATGAATTGGCGCTATACAAATAAAATTGAATTGAATTTAAAGTATTTCTGAGACTGATCATCAATTATCAAGATTTTTTTAAGAGCTTTATTTGACACTATACATGAAGTACTCTTCAGAATGCATTTTCCAGATATAGTGCAGAGGTTTAAAGTTGTTCAAGAGTTATAAAGTTGACTTTCTGGTGAGTTTAAAATGTCAGTGTTTGACAGTTTGAGTGACACTTTGCGCCGTCCATCCTCCAGGACTGTGACCACGTCAGTCAGACTGCAGAGGAGTTTTACACTGTCAGATGTCAGGTGGCGGATATGAAGAACATCTACGTGAGTATACAAAACACATCAGTATCAGCCAGGGGTGGAATGTAACTTATAAGTTTGACCATTTTATTCAACTCTATTCTCCCACTCCACATCTCAGAGGGAAATATTGTAGTTTTCTTTCAGGTTCTAATCTAACGGTTTCTGCTGTCTTCATTCAGGAATCTTTGGATGAGGTGACCATCAAGGACACTCTGGAGGGCGACAACATGTACACCTGCTCCCAGTGTGGCAAGAAGGTTCGCGCAGAGAAAAGGTCAGAATACACCTGAACACACGGATCTGTTCAGTTAATGTTAAACCTGTGTGATAAATCCTTTAATCTCCCTCCATCTCTCCACTCTTCGTGTCTCCTTCCCACAGAGCGTGTTTCAAAAAGCTGCCCCGGATCCTGAGTTTCAACACCATGAGATACACCTTCAACATGGTGACGATGATGAAGGAGAAGGTCAACACCCACTTCTCCTTCCCACTGCGCCTCGACATGACGCCCTACACCGAGGACTTCCTCATGGGCAAAGGAGAGCGCAAAGAGGGTTCGTACAAACACCAAAGGAAGATCAGAGTGACACAAATAATAAAGAGGGTTGGTGTGGACAATGAATGAATTCTGAGCGGTGTTTGTCGTGTGCTTCAGGTTTTCGGGAAGAAGGCGAGGCAAAAATCACAGAGAGCTACGAGTACGACCTCATCGGCGTCACGGTGCACACGGGCACAGCAGACGGCGGCCATTACTACAGCTTCATTAGAGACATCGTCAACCCTCACGCCTACAAGAACAACAAGTGGTGAGGGCATGAGCATGTTAAAGAAGAAATAATTAGGCTATTAAAGGCACTTAATTACCCAGAAATCAGCATGTTTCTGATTCAGGTTGATTTAAAAACAACACTTTTTGCAGGTACCTGTTCAACGATGCGGAGGTGAAGCCCTTCGACTCGGCGCAGCTGGCCTCTGAGTGCTTCGGTGGAGAAATGACGGTACGAGCTGCAGCCGATGGAAAATAATTCACATTAATCCATCCGTCACTTTGGATTTCGCTGACATTCTTTTTATCTTTCAGACTAAAACCTACGACTCCGTCACTGACAAGTTCATGGATTTCTCCTTTGAGAAGGTGAAGATGATTTTTGTCTTTGTCTTAGCTGCTTTTCACTGGCACAAACGGTCCAGAAGGTAATAATGAATTATTGATTGAACTTGCAGACACACAGTGCCTACATGCTCTTCTATAAAAGAGTGGAGCTGGAGGAGGAGAACGGGAAGGACTTTAGTTTTGACGTCTCTCCTGACCTGCTGGAGGTAGTGTGGGTCTCCTTTTTTAAATTTAAATGATATAAATACATTTATATTTATGTTTAAATGTACATGTCTGTCTCCCTTTCAGTGGATTTGGCACGACAACATGCAGTTCCTCCAGGATAAAAATATATTTGAACACACATACTTTGGGTGGGTATCAGATCTGTTACTTTTATACACAAGTCTTTGTATTCACCTTCTGCAGCTGCTTATGTTTGTTGTTTTTGTCAGTTTCATGTGGCAGCTCTGCAGCAGCATCCCCAGCACTCTACCAGACCCTAAAGCCGTCTCCCTCATGACTGCTAAGGTGCGCAGCACACACATTTACCTTTACTGTCACTTTTTACTTTTTTCTAACACTAAAAGAAAGTTTAGGAGAAATTAGCATCAAAATTTTTGTTTGACACGCTACAACGGTGTGTTAGGGCAGTTGCATGTAAACAAATAAATAATTAAAAATGTATGGAGCCCGGGGAGGTCGGTTATATTCTGAGGAAAAAAACTAAAGATTAAACTTAAAACTTAAAACGAGGTATCACTTCACCATATTACCATAAGAAGAAGAACATTTCTGCTTCTTTAACAATCAAAAAAAGCTTTGTCATGACTTGAAATTTGAACCTAGGCTGCTAAATCCATCCATAAATTAATGGCCATGAACAGTATAATGATAATCTGTTGGTACTTTTGCAGCAGTTGATGATGAAATAAATTAAAATAGATAGTTAGTTGCAGTTTTAGATACAGTAGAATTTAGGTCCATATTTCTGCCGCTTTATTGACCCAGGAGCTATTTTAATGTCAAACTGCTGCCTTGAAAATAATATTTCTGCCTCTTTGTCAATAGAAACACAAGTAAACTGTTCTGTCTGAGTGATTTTGTGTATTTCAGCCAAAGACCCCCTGAAAGAGTTCATGTCTTTAATCTAAATGTTCTTTTCTTTGCAGCTCAGCACATCATTTGTCCTTGAGACTTTTATTCACTCCAAGGAGAAGGTAATGCTCACTCAGCCTTATTGTAGGACATTTAACTTGTGACCATTGGACGTCTGTAACGTGGAGACAAACTGACTGATGTGTGTCCTTCCCGCTCTGTTACCTCCAGCCCACCATGCTGCAGTGGATTGAACTCCTGACCAAACAGTTCAACAACAGCCAGGCGGCCTGCGAGGTTTGATCCAAGCTTTATGTTTTACCTTTAGTGTTGTAGGTCTTTGTTGTTATGTGGTGTTTCTATTGGATGCAGGACAGAAACCCTTTTTGTGTTTGTTTACATGTTTTCCTCTCTTTCAGTGGTTTTTGGATCGGATGGCAGATGACAACTGGTGGCCGATGCAGATCCTCATAAAGTGCCCCAATCAGATTGTCAGACAAGTGAGTTACAGTGTCTGATGTAACTTTATTTTACCCTTATTCCCCGTTGTTCCTGTTTCCGGTTTTCACTCCTCTATCCTGTGACCTGGTTTTTCCCCTCAGATATTTATTTTGGTTGAGGTTCCATCCTGATATCGTCTCATGTCACAAAATCTCTTCCAGATGTTCCAGAGGTTGTGTATTCACGTCATCCAGAGGCTGCGTCCGGTTCATGCTCACCTCTACCTGCAGCCCGGCATGGAGGACGGGTATGTCACACCTGATTGGTCGGATTGGAAGTTCAATGTTTTACTCAAATCAAAACTCACAAGCTGTTTCATATTTAGATTTAAAATTATGTTTTTTGACTTTAATATTCTAAGAAAGTTTACATCAGATCTTTAAAATAAGAAGATTCAATGATAAATAAAAACTCAGTTTGGTTGTGCCAGTAGAGAATCGCAGCACAAACAGACAGTGTTGTGTCTGTGGTTTCAGATGGCGACAGAGATCCAAACAGGAGCTGTGTGTCACTCATTGTCTCTGTCACTCTGGACTCTGAGAAAGATTTATAGCTCCACAAAACTGAACAATACAACATCCACCTGCTACTGGATCTCGCACGAGAGCACCAGCATCTCAGACCAAATACAATGGGACAGAAACAGAATAAAACTCACCAAAACTGTCTCTGTTAGTCTTTCAAACAATCACCAACTCTGGTTTGGTCAAAATAAATCCTGAATTTAGAGTTACAGGTGAAAATATTCATGAAAATAACGCTAACTAATCAAAGTCTGTCCACTAAAAGTTGTTTCTGCCACTGACAGACTCAGGTTGTTATTGTCAGTGTCTGACAGCATTATGGAAAGGATCCCTACAGAGATAGACCTTTAGTTTAACCACAAACAGCCGTAATATCACTATCACTCTCCACCAGACTCCAGAGACAAAAACACTCATTACATCGCAGAGCATCATAACATCGTAACTTCATTCAACGATACATCACAGGCAGAGAGATTGAGACACCATGTGACACTGTATCTTTACACAGAGAACAGCTGTTTGCTCCTATATTAATGTTTTATATCTCTTATATCTACAACATTTAAGATGTGCCAGACTGGATCGTGTTTCGTTTGAACCTGCATTTAAAAACTTCCCTCGATCTCCCTCCTTCACGTGTTTCAGCTCTGACGACATGGACGGTCCGGTGGAGGACATCGGCAGCCGATCCTGCGTCACTCGCTTCGTTAAGACCCTGCTGTCCATCATGGAGCACGGCGTCAAGCCCCACAGCAAACACCTGACCGAGTACTTCGCCTTCCTCTACGAGTTCGCCAAGATGGGAGAGGAGGAGGTCGGTCCGAACTTCTACAGTTTGATCTTTGAGTCTGAAAGATGTTTGTCCACTCAGCCAAAAACCTCGTCAGTGGTACTAACTGCTGGGAAATCTCAGTTTATTTTAAATGTTGTTAGAATAAATATCTTGGAAGCCTGACAGCCGACTGAGACCCCAGACCAAGTATCAGTACACAACAGATAACAGACTAGTGAATTTAATGAAGTAAAATTGTTCAAAAGTAAAGGTTTTTATCAGGTTAGATTCTTGTTTTTAGATATGAAGCACATAAATAAATTGTTTCCAGGACCCTCCGCACCACTTGTTACTCTTATTAAAGAGTAATTATTCTTTGTTTTATTTTGAAAATAGGATTCAATTATTTCTAAGAAGTTATTGTTAAAAACATAATTAATCTCTGTGTAAATCAAGTCATGTCATTGTCTTTTTTTGTGTCTCCAGAGTCAGTTCTTGTTGTCACTACAAGCCATTTCAATCATGGTGCATTTCTACATGGGAACCAAAGGACCTGAGAATGTAAGTTTACACACTGAATATTTTTATTGAGATCTGAACTAAACTTAACTTCTTTCATGTCTTGCCATTCCAACTTGTTAAATGTGATAATTGATCCCTTTTGTAGATGTATTACATTGTATATTTAGTAATCTATATGTCAGTAACACTGAAGGAAGAGAGTAAATGATGAGTGTCCTCCCTCAGCCTCAGGTGGAGGTGCTTTCGGAGGAGGAAGGAGAGGAGGAGGACGAGGAGGAAGACATCTTGTCCCTGGCGGAGGAGAAGTATCGTCCTGCAGCTCTGGAGAAGATGATCGCCCTCATCGCTCTGCTGGTGGAGCAGTCTCGCTCTGAGAGGTACGACTTCAGGACCTGATGGAACAAATATTAGTGTCTGTAGTGCGGCTCGAGGATTCAGACGACTCTTTGTTTCTCTTTCTCACCTCCAGACACCTGACTCTGTCCCAGAGCGACATGGCGGCGCTGACCGGAGGGAAAGGCTTCCCCTTCCTCTTCCAGCACATCAGAGATGGCATCAACATCAGGCAGACCTGCAACCTCATCTTCAGCCTCTGTCGCTATAACAACCGCCTGGCCGAGCACGTAGGTTTTACCACGCACAGGAAATGACACGATGCTAATGTTTAAATGTACTTGCATGTTAAACTGATCTCCCCTGATGTGTATAAGATCACGTGTTATGGAAAGGGAAAGAGGAAATACAAGTACATAAAGTTATCCTGTTGCACTGATTGTAATCTGCTCTGAACAGTTAAATAATGTTTTCAGTGTATTTCTGGATATTTCAAGATGTTATGTATGTTCTTTCTGTCTGATTTAAAATGGAGAACAGATATTTTCTGAACTTCCAGGGGAGTTTGAAAGGATGGTCAATTTAAAAAGTGAGCTAACGCGAAGTGCTGTCCTGTTTTATCGAGAAAAAGTCCTTGAAAAGTCCTGATTCTTCTGTCCATCCTGACAAATAATCGCCCAAAAACATACAGAGAGAAATCCATCACAGAAACAGAAATAGACCAGAATGCACTGCAGTTGTGTTGCAGACATGTTGGGCTCTGAGTGAGGGGCTGCTATCCTGCTACTGTCCTATTACAGGTTTTGCTGCTCTTTTATCACACTGACTGTATAATTGTCCTCCTGACAGATTGTGTCAATGCTCTTCACCTCCATCGCTAAGCTGACTCCTGAGGTAAACACAGCACAGATGAGACTTTTTACTACTAATTTAATCTAACATATGTGGTATTTAAATAATAAGCTCTACACATGCTTTATCAGTTCTCCTTTTGTTCTTCGTCTCCCTCCATCAGGCTGCTAATCCTTTCTTCAAGCTGCTGACGATGCTGATGGAGTTTGCGGGCGGACCCCCGGGAATGCCCTCGTTCGCCTCCTACATCCTCCAGAGGATCTGGGAGGTAAAATACTTCAGCTGGTGTCACAGAAGTTACTGTTCTTCTTCTTCTCTTCAACGTTTCTTACATTTCTCATCTGTTATCTTCAGTCGTGTTTTATTTATTTATTCAGTGTTTTTTTCTGTTACGTCCAGTCAGCAGGGAACAGATCTTCTCGTGTTAGCAGATTAATGGCAGGAGGTTTAATATTCATCAGACGGGCCGGCTGTCTTTCATTTCGTTCTGTGTTATCTTCATGTGTGTCTGCGTTCTTCCTGTCAGGTGATCGAGTACAACCCGTCTCAGTGTCTGGACTGGCTGGCTGTCCAGACTCCCAGGAACAAACTGGCCCACAGCTGGGTCCTGCAGAACATGGAGAACTGGGTGGAGCGCTTTCTGCTGGCCCACAACTACCCCCGAGTCCGCACCTGTAAGTGTTTATGTCAGAATGGCTCGTTTAAAGGTCCACTGTGTCATTCGTCTGCGGTTTGCTCCCTGGTCCTAACAGCAGCTGTCTCTCCTCCCTCCAGCTGCGGCGTACCTCCTCGTCTCCCTCATCCCCAGCAACTCCTTCCGCCAGATGTTTCGCTCCACGCGCTCCCTCCACCTACCGACCCGTGAGCTGCCGCTGTCGCCCGACACCACCGTGGTCCTCCACCAGGTCTACAACCTGCTGCTGGGGCTGCTGGGACGTGCCAAGCTCTACGTAGATGCCAGCGTTCACGGCACCACCAAGCTGGTTCAGTACTTCAGCTTCATGACCTACTGCCTCATCTCTAAGACGGAGAAACTCATGTTCTCTGGTTACTTTATGGACCTCTGGAACCTCTTCCAGGTACTCTTCTACTTATTATTGCACTTTTTTAATTCTTAAAGTAGTAAAATCCTCAGAGCTCCACTTATAGATATTAGTTCTATATAATACAGCTTTAATAATATAAAATCTCTTCAGCCCAAACTATCGGAGCCGGCCATCGCCACCAACCACAACAAGCAGGCACTGCTGTCCTTCTGGTACAACATGTGCGTGGACTGTCCGGAGAACGTGCGCCTGGTGGTGCAGAACCCCGTGGTGACCAAGAACATCGCCTTCAACTACATCCTGGCCGACCATGACGACCAGGAGGTGGTGCTCTTCAACCGCGGCATGCTGCCCGCCTACTACGGCATCCTGCGCATGTGCTGCGAGCAGTCGCCCGCCTTCACCCGTCAGCTCGCCTCGCACCAGAACATCCAGTGGGCCTTCAAGAACCTGACGCCACACGCCAGCCAGTACCCCGGGGTAGGTGGAGAGTCTCTTTATTATTGAGACAGAATCAAACATTATACCCTCTCCCTCCAGTTTCACCGTTGGATACATATTTACATCCGTTCATACACAGAAATAAATGGAGAAAGAAAGAACCAAAACAACTCTGATCATCGGTTTTGATTATTTGGGGTTTTTTCTGTTACATTTAACATTTGCTGTTGTTTGATTTATAGATATTTAAGTCTTTCACCAATGAGGGCTTTCAAGGTGTTTCTTCAGAAAAACATTTTCATGTTCTGTTTCTTCTTCTGTCCATGGCGGTTGTTTTCTTGTTTCAGTTTCAGATCAATACACAGGATAAACCCCATGAGGTCTATGTTATACAAATACAAATGAATTAAATCTGTCTGAAAACACAGACAACATAAAAATCTAATTAATTAATAATTAATCTTAATCTAATTAAAAAGTTTGATTAAAAAATGTTCAGAAACATAAAAAATATGTATTTATTTAACCTTTATTTAACCAGGAAGTCCGTATAGATTATTTTCCACAAGAGAGACTCTTCAAAAACCTACAGCTCATACATACAATAGGAGAGAGCTGGACTATTCAAATAGTGTCACATTGAGGATCTATTGTCAGAAATGAAATGTAATATTCAGGTATGTTTTCATTAGTGTATAATCACCTGAAAATAGGAATCCTTGTGTTGTCGTTACCTTAGAATGAGATGTTTTTATCTATAGAGGAAGCGGGTCCTCTAACATGAAGGCCGCCATCAGTAGCCCTGAACGGACAAACCAAACACCGGCTCTAGATTGGGCCTTTTGTGTTTTCTGTGAGTTTTGCAGCCACTGTTGTAGCTTGAGGGTTGGTTGCTATGTACAATCTCACCACTAGATGTCACTAAATCCTACTAAAATCCTCTTTATATATAATATTCTTCATGAAACATGTTTTAAATGTGGCCTTTGGCTGCCCGATGTGGAGGAAGTGTTTCCAAATGATGATATCTATCCAAACTCAGGTTGCCACGTATAGAAAAGCAGTTTAGATCAGACTCTAGGGACACTGAACTCTGTGTGTCTGTGTGTGTGTGTGTGTGTGTGTGTGTGTGTGTGTCTGTGTGTGTGTGTGTGTGTGTGTGTGTTGTGTGTGTGTGTGTGTGTGTGTGTGTGTGTGTGTGTGTGTGTGTGTGTGTGTGCCCCCTGCAGGCGGTGGAGGAGCTCTTCAACCTGATGCAGCTGTTTGTGGCGCAGCGAGCCGACATGAGAGAAGAAGAGCTGGAGGACGTCAAACAGTTCAAGAAAACCACCATCAGCTGCTACCTGCGCTGCCTGGATGGCCGCTCCTGCTGGACCACGCTCATCAGGTCCAGACACACACACACACACACACACACACACACACACACACACACACACACACACACACACACACACACACAGACTGAATACATTTTCCTTCAGGAGCTTATATTATCTGCATCCTAACAGCTGGTTTTGTTCTTCCTCTCAGTGCCTTCAGGGTTCTGCTGGAGAATGACGAGGACCGGCTGCTGGTGGTCTTCAACAGAGGACTCATCCTTATGACTGAAGTACGATCAGGACCAGGATCCCCTCTGTCCATCAAATGTTGAAATATAACGATTAGTTTGATGTTTCAAAATAATGAGTTGACAACCAAAAAACAGACACAAAAACAGAGACATTAAGGTCTTTGTTCGTGACATTAATGTCTCTGTTTTTAACATCATTAATGATAGTAAATATCACATTGCGATATTATGTTTTGTGATATTGTCTTATAAATCCCCTTTTCCTGTGCTTAGAGACAACTCTGAGTTTTAATTAAGCTGAACAACAAAATTAAAAGTATAAACTTAACTTTGAAAGCCTAATAAAGTGCTGATGGTTTGAGCTTTCTACAGTTGTTGATCTCGTGAATAAAAGATGCTCTCTGTCCGTCTGTCCCCCTGCAGTCCTTCAACACTCTGCACATGATGTACCACGAGGCGACAGCGTGTCACGTCACTGGAGACCTGGTGGAGCTGCTCTCCATCTTCCTGTCTGTCCTCAAAGCCACCAGGCCGTACCTGCAGCGCAAAGGTCAGAGCGCCGCCCTGCTCGCAGAAACTGAAAGAGCAGGCTGAGATACGAAGCGTAATGCGGCAGCGCGAGTGTTTGTTACGTGTGTGTGTGTGTGTGTGTGTTTGTTCTGAGCAGATGTTTCTGTGTGTGTTGTCGTCCAGATGTGAAGCAGGCTCTGATCCAGTGGCAGGAGAGGATCGACTTCGCCCACAAGCTGCTCACACTCCTCAACTCCTACAGCCCGCCAGAGCTCCGTAACGCCTGCCTGGGTAACACACACGCACACACAGCGCACACACACTCACACACAGCGCACACACACACACACTCTTAATGCTGGTTGTTATTTTCCAGTATGCAGAATTTACAGACGTTGAACGTTGGACGTGATGGTTATAGATATATATAGTTATAGACGAGAAGGTTGGCTGTGTGTAATGTTTTGTGCTCTTTGTTCCGGTTCCTGCAGACGTGCTGAAGGAACTGGTTCTGCTGAGTCCACATGACTTCCTGCACACTCTGGTCCCCTTCCTGCAGCACAACCACTGCACCTACCACCACAGCAACATCCCCAGTGAGTCTCCTCCTCTTCCTCACCTCTCCTGCCTTCCAGCCTATCACTATCACTATATAGATGCTTTCTATCTTCTTCTTTTTATTCCTGTTTTTATACGTCTGTTTTGCTGTTTACAACCAGCAAGAACAAACACCCAGGAAGGGTTCATAAAAATAAAGTTGAGGAAAGAGTTAAGGCTCACAGATCTTTGAGTCATTTCTTTAAATGTATTTTATCATAGTATAATTAAATCCTGATATTAAGGTGAGTTTTCTGTCCACAGTGTCGTTCGGCCCCTACCTGCCCTGCAGAGAGAACATCAAGCTGATGGGAGCCAAGAATAACATCCGACCCCCGAGACCGGAGCTCAACATGTGTCTGCTGCCCTCCATGGTGGAGAGCAGCAAGGTACGCTCACCTCCAACTCCTCTGTCCCTGCTGTTTTATGTTTTATTAACTTATGGCACAGTTCTGTCTGTAGTGTGTATCCTTTAGCATTTTTTACAATCACACACTTTTTCTTTCTTGACAGACTCAGTGTTTTGTCGTCCCTGCTGCTTGGTCTTTGTTCTGTTAGACAATTTACTAGAAGTGAAGCAGATGCCGAGATATCAGCAGTTTCCTAGCATCCTTTTAAAATCAAGAAGGCATCGCGACCCCACTGTGAAGCTTTGTTGACCAATAGTGGTGGTCTCGACCCACAGGTCGGGAACCACTGGATTAACCGATCAGCTGACCAACAGAATATTATTTTTAGAATTGATTAATCGCTGTGTAGTTTGTCAAGATAAAGAGCCAAAGTTGTGATGTTTCCAGTTTCTCCAGTGAGGATTTTTTATCCCGATAAACTGAATATTTTTGTTGTTTGGACGAAACAAAACTTTTAAAGACGTCATGATGGACATGGAAAATAACCATTTTGAAATCAAACTAAATTTAAAACGAGCCTAAAGCTCCAGTGTTTAACATTTAGGAGGATCTATTGGCAGGAATTAGTTTAATATTCATATGTAACTAGGTGTCGTCAAAGCTTCAAGGGGGGTCACAAGGCCTTCTTAATTTTAAGGGATGTAAGAAACATAAACACAGTAGGCTTTTATCTCAGCATTTTGTTGTTTGTGTGAATACAACGCAATGAAATTGTTATTTTTAAAGCTCTAATCTTTGAAAACCTGAACAAAAGTTATATTCACAGAGCCCTCAATCTTAAAACAAGCAGAGACCAAAGAGAACGATGAGAAGAAAACACTGAATGTGTCAAAAAAAGAAGCCTTTAAACTCTGTATGGTTAACTATTAAAAAAAACCTAATACAGACAGAAAATAGTGTTAAATGTTCCCAAAAACTCAATATTCACAGGAAATAATCCGCTTTTTAAGACCTGCAGGGGCTTGATATTGCTATTAAACTCTCTCTGTCTGTCTGTCTGTCTGTCTGTCTCAGGGTAAAGACGAGGTGTACGACCGCATGCTGCTGGATTACTTCCTGTCCTACCACCAGTTCATCCACCTGCTGTGTCGCGTCGCAATCAACTGCGAGAAATTCACCGACACACTCGTCAAACTCAGTACGTACCATCTCCGTGTGTGTGCGTCATACAACTGTTCATACACACATGATGTAATGACTCCCTCTGTGTGTCTCTCAGGCGTGTTGATAGCGTATGAAGGACTTCCTCTTCACCTCGCTCTCTTCCCCAAGCTGTGGACGGAGCTCTGTCAGTCTCAGGTGGGTCATGTTTTAAATTTAAAGATTGAAGCTGCAGATTTTACAGATAAAGAATCCCGATGAATAACCGTCGCTCTGTCTGTCAGTCTGTCCTGGCTAAAACGTGTGTGAAGCTGCTGTGTGAGGATCCGGCCTTCAGCGAGTACATCAAGTGCATCCTGATGGACGAGAGGACGTTTCTCAACAACAACGTGGCCTACTCCTTCCTCACCTGCTTCCTGCACAAGGTACGCCGACAAAGCTCCAGCTGTCTCCGTTTGTACCGGATTCATAGCCGGGATAAAGTGGGAATATCTGATGGACGGATTATATTTTGTCTATTATTATTTCATCTGGTGAAAACTGAATGAAAATGCACCAAAGGATTGCAGAGAAAGTTAAATATTGATACTGATAACTCCTTCATGGCTGGATATTAAGATCTTTAAACTGTTCTGATGCTGTAACTGTGTGACGTCCCCATAACAACCGTGTGTCTGTGTGTGTGTGTCTGTGAGGTCCAGGTGCTGTCCGGTCCCAGCTGCTCCAACCTGATTGGCGTTCTGGTGACGAACCTGCTGAATGAACAGAGCAGCCTGCAGCCGGAGCTGGCAGCTCACCGCCTGGAGCTCAGCAAGACCAGCGGCCTGCTCAACGCCGTACGAACACACACTGACAGACACACACAGACACACACTGACAGACACACACGCAGATCAAACTGCACCTCTTTCTGTGATTTCTATAAATTAATATTTTCCAGTCGTTTTCATTTTTGTGTCGTTTTCTCCCCTGCTCTCTCTCTCTCTCTCTCTCTCTCTCTCTCTCTCTCTCTCTCTCTCTCTCTCTCTCTCTCTCTCTCTCTCTCTCTCTCTCTCCCCCCATCAGGACCTGAGGGCGTTGGTGTTGCTGCTCTCCGTCCAGCCTCCTCAGGCCGTTGACCCGGCTCTCTGCCCCGCCCTGCAGGAGCTGTTGGGTCGCTGTCGTGTTTGTGTCCAGCAGCGCAGCGCTCTGGAGCTCGAGGCCAAGGACCACAAGGCCAAAGGTAACACACACACACACACACACACACACACACACACACACACACACATACACACACTTTTAACAAACAAAATAAACTCACCAACTGTCAAGAAAGGAAAAGAAAGAAAAGAAAATCACACCTTTTCTTCATTAAACACACTTCACACACAGTTCAACAGAAACAGAAACCCAGAGTTTGTCTTGTTTGGATCCTCTGTGAGTCACCTTGTTCCTAGTTGGAAGAAACCCAGAATTCATTGCAGTTAGAGGTGAAAACACACAGACTCTACAGCTGTCGCTCTTCAGCTCAGTGTGTGAACGTCTGTCACTAAATAAAATGACCATTATCGTCCAGATATTCAGTGTTTCACTCACATCCTCTAAAACCGACTGAACAGCTGAAACAAACAAAAACAAAACTTCATGGCACCAAAACGGAATTAGAGAACTGAACCTTTAGTTAATCTGTGTGTGTGTGTGTGTGTGTGTGTGTGTGTGTGTGTGTGTGTGTGTGTGTGTGTGTGTGTGTGTGTGTGTGTGTGTGTGTGTGTGTGTGTGTGTGTGTGTGTCAGCTGAGGACGAAGGAGCGACCCCGGTGAAGCGGCGGCGGGTGAGCAGTGATGACGACAGAGCCGGTGATGCCGCGGCGCCGCTCTGCGTGGCCTCCACCTCCTCCTCTTCCTCCTCCTCCTCCTCGGCCCTCCCGCCCTGCAGCGAGCCGAAGCCCGACCACCAGGAGGCGCTGACGCCCACCAGCACCTCGGACACGGAGACGCGGGACTCCTCCTCGCTGATCGACCCGGGCACGGAGCAGGACCCGCCCTCTCCTGACCCCGCCCCCACCTCCTCTGGGAACCTGGACTCCTCCCCGAAAGAGGAGAAAATGGAGGCCTCTTCATCGTCATCCTCCTCGTTCTCCTCCTCCTCCTCCCTGTTGCAGGAGGCGGGGGAGGGCTTTGTGCAGGGGGAGGAGGCCGAGCCGCAGCGCCACATGGCGGGGGGAGAAGAGGAGGAGGCGGAGCAGCGGGAGGGGAGGAGGGGTGAGGCGATGTCCGCCTCGTCGGAGGAGGTGAAGGAAGAGAAGGAGGCGGGCTCTAAGACCGGCGGCAGCTCGGCCCCGCCCCTCTCCGAGGACGCCGCCTTCCCATCAGCGCTCGGGCTGACGGGGGAGGGGCCAGAGGGCTGCAGCGGCCACGCCTCCTCCTCCTCTTCCTCCTCCTCCTCCTCCTCCTCGCAGGTGTTTCCGAGCGCCGGCCCCCCGCCCGACATGCTGGACATGCTGTACAGGACGGTGGAAGCCACCATCGCCATAGTTACCAAACTGTCCGTTAAAGGCCCGCCCTCTTCATGACATCATCAACTCACAGCCGCCATGAGATCTTTGACAAAAACTAATTTTTCTTCTTTTTGTTTTTTTTTTCTCTTTTGGAGAAATCTGAATTCTTCAGAGGAAAAAACTTTTTCCTGTTTTTGGTTTTCTGTTTTCTCCTCCTGCTGTTCGTGCTGCTGTCCGTTTGCCTTCTGCTGATGTTCAGTCGGTCGGTCTTTTCCAGCTTCAGTGGCTCCGCCGTGTCGTCTCTCGCTCTGTACAACTCTGACTCCACGCACAGCCGACCCCCCCACCCCCCCCCAAACCCCCCAACCCCCCTCGTTTGACAAATAAAGAAAACCAGAAAAAGTCGTACAAGCTATAGCACATTTTTTTTCAAAGGGCAAAAAAAAAAGTTTTTGTTTTGTTGGTTTTTTTTTTTGGTGTGTTTTATACTGATTTGAATTTGTTTTGGAAAGTGATTTTATTTGCTGTAACGGGGAAAGGTTTACAGAACTTTTGTCTCCTCTGTATGTAATTTAATTTTATTGCATTTTTACTGTGTATAAAAATGGTCGTCCTCTGTGCCAGTTTTGTACTTTATGAACGAGGCAAAAAGAAAAGTTGCCTTGACTTTTTCTGTGGTTTAATTATCCAGAAACTGAGTTTACCTGTAAATTAAGAGAACCACAAGAAAACTTGATTCTGTAAAGAATCCTCTCTAGTCATTGCCTGAAGGTGTATATGAAAACTATATAAATATATATATAAATATCTTTATATATATATGAATATATAAAAAAGCGGTGCTTTATTTGACTGTGGTTGAAATAAAGCCCCCATGTTGGACCAGCTGGAGCTTTTATTTTCTTTAGTGAAGTACATTCCATAATCTATTGTTTATTTTTGCTTCTTCTGCTGTGTTCTGATTTTCTTCTGATTTTATTTTAATAGAGAATAAATTAATAAACACAGTTTTAATATGAAGAATTATGAACTGAAATCCATTGTGGAGCTGTGAGGTTTTCTTTCTTTCCCTTTCTGCTCAGTTTGCGTCAGTTTCAGAGAAATCCGAGTGTTTTAAATGTTTCCAGGCTGCAGAGCGACGCTCACATCAGCAGCAGTGGAGCCGTACGGGAAGCTAAAGGGATCACAAAGCCTGGTACAGTAAGTGTAACACATGTGTAAGTACAGTATCATTTATAAAAGCTGCTTATATGAGCCTTTAACACATTGTTTTATTGTGTTTAAAGTCAAAATGTGCAGGACTGCAGCTTCTTTAAGCCTGAATACATTCAGACTGTGTTGGACCTGAACATGTAATGAAAGCAGGTGTACATAAACACTATGTGCTGACAAACTACTATAAAACCTGCAGCATACAATCAGAAGTTAACACCTCAGAAAGGTCAAATTAGATTCTCAAATAGATCCGTATTTACCTTCTAACAGTGCGACGAGTGCGTTTATCCTCGACATGTTTTTAAGGAATATGTACACACTCAAGTTAGAGAAATAACATTTCCATTGTGGTTCTCGTTCCAGGATGATAAGATGTTAATAAATCACCGCGGTTACACTTCCAGTCCATACAGACACATTCACAGACGCCCTCCTACAAACCTACAAACCTTCCATATAGACCCCCCCTACCAACAGATTTACACACATTTATTACACATTATACCTCCCGCTGCCATCACAATATCTCTGGTCCTGCTTCTAGTTAAATAGCCATGTGAGTCGCTAACCTAAAATAAATGTTTTAATACCTCAGGGTGTCGTTACCATTCAAAATATATGAAAACAAATATATATAAATGGAAATCAAACAAGCTCTGGATGATACAATTAGTTTATTCAGACAGGTAAATATTTTATGGACACTAATACAAAACAAACAATAAAGTTAATATTTATAAAAATAAAAATGTAACCCTTCGAAGGACAATCTCGTAATATTCACATCATATTATAAAATGAAGCAGAATAACAGTTTGATATCCGGTTGCTCTGAATATGAAACATTTTGTTCTTTGTAATTTTTCTTTGCAATGTGTGAAATAAAAACAGTTTCTACTTTCAAAGTATAATGTAGTGTATTATTTAGTTATTTACAGTTGAATGGAGGTTTACTGCACAGCTGCATTCATATTATTATTTACATTTTTTGCTCATAAAGTGCATTAAATAGAAAAACGAAAGAAAGCTGCAAAACGAAACAGGTGACACAGTTTCTGTTAAATTATAAATGTTCAGTTTGCTTTATGGCAGCCATTTTACAGACAAAGAAACTAAATTAAAATATTACTCAGTAGACTGATCATTAAAGGTTAAACCAATAAATTCTTTGCTCCTCCTCCTCCTGTCTCCTCTCCTGTGGCGTAGTCTGTTCCTGCAACACAAATTATTCATACAGAAAAAATTTTATTATAATTTTTCTTTAATGAAACAGGAAGTTTTTTGGGGGGTTTTAAGTTGAAAGTGGATTTTGTGACTTGTCCTCGGGGAGACGACTGCACACAGTGACTTTAAATAAAATGGCAGAAAGTGAACACGAGCCTCTTTTTCACTGCAGGTAGTCGGAGATTCTCAGCTGATCGACTTTTTTCTGGTTGTTTTATTGTTAAATTGTGATTGGTAGCTTTTTATTTGTTATTTCTATGTGTATGTTTTTTCCTATTTATAAATAGGGGGAAAGTTTTTTTGGTTTTATTTTTTAAACGGAAAAGGGTCGTTTTTTATTTTCCATTTTAATTTAAAATAAATAAAATAAGTGTTTAGTTCCCCTGTTTATAAATGGTAGTCGATTTGTTTTTTATTTCAAAACAAAAATCCATTCGCTGCCACCGACCCTCCGTACCCTCCACCACTACCGCCAATGGAAAACCCAAAAATGGCTCCGAGCCGTACTTTGTGGTGGAAATGAGGCAAGTTAGTTCTCAGCGTGCGGGGGGAGGATTTCTAACAACAATGGAAAATAATTCAGAACAGTGACGTTAATATTCAGATTTTAAAGTCAAATTCTATGGAGAGAATTTTGTTCCTTTATTATTCAATCAAATAGAATAGATTTGAAACCAAAAAAGAGATTTGAGAGCAAAAAAAAGAGTAAGTGGCAATCAAAAAAATGTTTGGGATCGAAACAGAACAGGTTGTAATTGAAAAAGTAAGTAAAAACATACGACCATTTTGCGTCCTCTTTGTTTGCAAGTTCTAAAGTTTTGTTCAACTGCACTTGATGGGCGGGGCCTACGCTGGTGGACGAGAGAAGAGTTTCTATTGGTTGGTTTGACCTGGCTACGTCTTCCGCATTACACCCACTTCTCCATTGTGCTGTGCTGCTTGGAGAAGCCTGTTGCTCTTGAAACGTTTCCCAGAAGTAATGAATTGCGCTATATATCGTTGGCTACAGCCTGCCGTACATTCACAACAACAACAACAACAACAACAACACAAGTAATGAATTATAATGCCCTGCTGCTGCAAGCACACTGATTAGCAGCAACATGGTTGTCTCTGCTAGTCACAGCCTGAGCAGAGTAGCCTAATGAGTGAGTGAATTACAGGGAGGCGTATACAACAAACACACGTGGCGAATAATTTAACAAATTCACGCACATATTTCTAACCAGCCAGCATTACTGGTCTATACAGGAGCAGCAGAATGATGCTTCTGACCTCAGAGATGTACAATGTGTAGGCTACAGAAGAGAAAAGCAAATTTCAGCACCACTGATCTGTATAATCAGATTATAAGTGTTTGTTGTATACGCCTCCCTGTAATTCACTCACTCATTAGGCTACTCTGCTCAGGCCGTGACTAGCAGAGACAATCATGTTGCTGCTGATCAGTGTGCTTGCAGCAGCAGGGCATTATAATTCATTACTTGTGTTGTTGTTGTTGTTGTTGTTGTGAATGTACGGCAGGCTGTAGCCAACGATATATAGCGCAATTCATTACTTCTGGGAAACGTTTCAAGAGCAACAGGCCAGGTCAAACCAACCAATAGAAACTCTTCTCTCGTCCACCAGCGTAGGCCCCGCCCATCAAGTGCAGTTGAACAAAACTTTAGAACTCGCAAGCAAAGAGGAAGCAAAATGGTCGTATGTTTTTACTTACAAACATTAGTTTTGATTGAATTTGAAGAAATATGTTCTCTCATATTTTTTTTTCAATTACAACCTGTTCTGTTTCCATCTCAAAAAATTTTTTTTTGATTGCCACTTACTCTTTTTTGCTTTCAAATCTCTTTTTTGCTTTCAAATCTATTCTATTTGATTGAATAATAAAGGAACAAAATTCTCTCCATAAATTTGATAATTTCTCAGGATTACGACCGGAGTCCCCGGATGGCGCCGTTTAACAACACTGACGTTAGCACGCAGCTGCCGGTCTGAAGCACGTTAGTGGTTTACTGCAGTAAAGTTGGCAATATATTCACAGATTGGAACTTCCCGCATCAATAACTCACAATCGGGACATTTTTAAAACACAGCCGATGCCTCTTTCCAACCGTAGTAAAGCACACAACGAGCTCCAACTTCATCAATGCTCCAATAACATTGACCTCTATGTACACCTGGCTGTGAGAGGAGTGCGCAGGGACCGTCAACAATTTTCAATAATGAAAAGAGATATCACAAAAGATATTCAATTACTGTACTCTCACCAATCTGTGAATATATTGCCAACTTTACTGCAGTTGATGGTTTCCAGTCTCACCTGATGATCAAGACAATCGATCCTAGCACGATCAGGGGAATCAGGACGCCCAGAGTGATGGCCAAGGTCTGGTTGGAGGCGGGTTTTTGAGGCTTCATCACGTCAAAGTGAACACCCGGCCCAAACACTTTGACCAGCTCCGCCGTCACAGCAGCCGATTGGCCCTGCAGCTTTCTGACGGGTTAGACACGAGAGATCAGGACCCAACAGAACCTCCAGCGCGCCGCTCTTTAAGGAACCATCTCTAACAATGTGTCGACTCTTTGAGTCCGTGTTAAAAATCAAACTCTTACTTTATGACTTCTTCAGAGGAAACGACCTCCCCTCCGTCTACAGCGACGAAGCTGACCAGAGCTGTCCTCTCAGCCGCACTGGACACCTCGATGATGTTCACGGCCCAGCCCAGAGCGCCACCTAGAGCCCTGAGAGGAACACACAGTTACAACAACAGGAATCTCCAAACAATGAATGGATCATGAGCTCGACCCATCTTACTTCTCCATCTCGCGGACTTTCTTCTCCACGACGTTGGCGGGCTGGTTGAGGGAGATGACCACCACGTCACTGCTGCTCGCACCTCCCTTGACCTCCACCTGGGGGCAGAAGAGTGCCATTGTGGTATGTACATTATTTTCTTCCTTTAAATTAAAATGTTTGTTTGTGATGAGATATAACTTTTTCTCTTAACATCCTGCTGATTTTGGCCTCTACTGGACGTTGACTCACTGTTCTTTACCTTTTATAAAAACCACTGTGAACTCCCTTCATCCAGTCCTCGCTCACTCACCTCCACCTTGGTCGTAGCCTGAAGTCCTCGGGGGTCCGTGGCTTTCACCTCCACTGCAGCCTGCTGTCCAGCCAGACTCACCACGGACACCACGTACACCAGACCCGAGGACGGATCCACGTCAAAATGAGGACTGTCTGCAGACAGGCTGTAGACCAGCTGACCCTCTTCACCGACATCAGGGTCCAAAGCCTGTGGGGGGGAGGGTGGGGGTCATAAATGATTTGTTTTTTAAAGATCTAAACACTAACATGTGTGAATTCAACTGTAAGTTCATTATTTATTATGTGTATTTGAAGCATCACTTTGTTTAACACACAAGATAATTAATGATTATCGCTTCTGTCGTTAGCAGAGAGCAGGTATCCCACAATGCTCTTTTATTACAGTACGGGATATTTTCTGTGTGCGTTTACCTTCACATGAATGACAGGGGCTTTATACGGGGCGATGCTGAAAATTGAGGCCTTATAAACCTCGGACTGAAACTCTGGAGACTCGTTCACATCCTCCACCTGAACTCTGACCTGAGAGAGAGAAGAAACAAGGAAATAGAGGACTGTAAACATAATCTGATCGGATTCACAGAATCTTATCTGATAACACAAACACACATAATACAAAGAAAGACTAATACCAGAAAGTAACTAAATGTACAAAATAAACCACAGAACAGTGAAAGTTCTGACTTCCAGCTGCACAAATGGTCCTGAATGCTTCACGACAACAAGATTTTCTGGATTAAATGTTGAATTGTTCTGTTGTTTTATAGAATATATAAAAGTCATCTAACTGATGTGTATTTTCTCTGGTCTTTATTTGTGGATTTGGTGTGGAGGTAAATTAATTTACTGTAATATTGTGATACTTTTGTAATAAACAATTATGTTAGTAAGTAACTGCAATCGGATTACATTTTTAAAGGAATCCTCCCAACGCTGGACGTTTGTAATAATCCCCGATGAATAAACTCAACAGTATCAGTTGATCCATATTATTGTCACTGTATATTAATGAAGATCTGGATCCTGATGCTCATTAAAAGTTTGTCTGTTTTTTCTTAAAATAAAGAGAGGATTCAGAAAGGGTTGCTTCTTTTCTTCAGTAATCAATATCACCTGAGATATACAACTTAAAGGAGAAACCAGACAATATTCTCTCCATAAAATCTGATCCAGTTTCACTCAAATCACTGATAAAGTTGTGTGTTTGTAGCTCTGTGTGGCTAAAGGTTGAAGATTGATGGGTGAATGTCAGGATATTATTGGTTGAAATCAGTTAGTTCATGCTGACGTAAGCACGCGTCACATTTAGTTTTACAGGAAGACACAATGATTGGATTTTAATATAAAAATACAAATAAATTAAAAATAACTTTTGTGCATTTTTCTGACACACATTGTTAAACAGGGAGACAATACGACTGAGGATGTGATCTTAAAGGGTTAAAATGAGAACAGATCGTACCATTGCAACAGCTGACGTAGGGGGGGTCCTCGTGTCCACTGCCTCCACGTCCAGGATGTACCAGTCCTGCTCTTCTTTGTCCAGTTCTGTTTTGGTCAGGATGGCTCCACTGGTGTTGACGGAGAACAGGTCTGTGTGTGTTTTCAGTGTGTAGGCGACATCGTAAAGGTCGCTTCCTGAGGAGGCCCAGACCATCCCCACTGTCGCCCCCACCGGCTCGTTCTCAGGTAGGCTGAAGTTGTAGGAGGTATTGCTGAAGGCCACGCCCGCCACCCTCAGATTGACCACGACGCGGGCTGGTTACACCCAACAACACACGAGTTATCAATATTCAATACATGTTTAATATCACAAGCTGTAAAATATAAATGTTTATAATAGTTTACTTTAAACAGTGGGTACGGAAAGTATTCAGACCCCTTAAAATGTTTCACTCTTTGTTTCATTGCAGCCATTTGCTAAAATCAGAAAAGTTCATTTTATTTCTCATTAATGTACACTCAGCACCCCATCTTGACAGAAAAAAAACAAATGTAGAAATTTTTGCAAATTTATTAAAAAGGAAAAACTGAAATATCACATGGTCATAAGTATTCAGACCCTTTGCTGTGACACTCATATTTAACTCACATGCTGTCCATTTCTGATCCTCCTTGAGATGGTTCTGCTCCTTCATTGGAGTCTAGCTGTGTTTAATTAAACTGATTGGACTTGATTAGGAAAGGCACACACCTGTCTATATAAGACCTTACAGCTCACAGTGCATGTCAGAGCAAATGAGAATCATGAGGTCGAAGGAACTGCTCAAGGAGCTCAGAGACAGAATTGTGGCAAGGCACAGATCTGGCCAAGGTTACAAAAGAATTTCTGCAGCACTCAAGGTTCCTAAGAGCACCGTGGCCTCCATAATCCCTAAATGGAAGAAGTTTGGGACGACCAGAACTCTTCCTAGACCTGGCCGTCCAGCCAAACTGAGCAATCGTGGGAGAAGAGCCTTGGTGAGAGAGGTAAAGAAGAACCCAAAGATCACTGTGGCTGAGCTCCAGAGATGCAGTAGGGAGATGGGAGAAAGTTCCACAAAGTCAACTATCACTGCAGCCCTGCACCAGTCGGGGCTTTATGGCAGAGTGGCCTGACGGAAGCCTCTCCTCAGTGCAAGACATATGAAAGCCTGCATAGAGTTTGCCAAAAAACACATGAAGGACTCCCAGACTATGAGAAATAAGATTCTCTGGTCTGATGAGACCAAGATTGAACTTTTTGGCGTTAATTCTAAGCGGTATGTGTGGAGAAAACCAGGCACTGCTCATCACCTGCCCAATACAATCCCAACAGTGAAACATGGTGGTGGTGGCAGCATCAGGCTATGGGGATGTTTTTCAGCTGCAGGGACAGGACGACTGGTTGCAATTGAAGGAAAGATGAATGCGGCCAAGTACAGAGATATCCTGGAAGAAAACCTCTTCCAGAGTGCTCAGGACCTCAGACTGGGCCGAAGGTTCACCTTCCAACAAGACAATGACCCTAAGCACACAGCTAAAATAACAGAGGAGTGGCTTCGGAACAACTCTGTGACCATTCTTGACTGGCCCAGCCAGAGCCCTGACCTAAACCCAATTGAGCATCTCTGGAGAGATCTGAAAATGGCTGTCCACCAACGTTCACCATCCAACCTGACAGAACTGGAGAGGATCTGCAAGGAAGAATGGCAGAGGATCCCCAAATCCAGGTGTGAAAAACTTGTTGCATCATTCCCAAGAAGACTCATGGCGGTAGTAGCTCAAAAGGGTGCTTCTACTCAATACTGAGCAAAGGGTCTGAATACTTATGACCATGTGATATTTCAGTTTTTCTTTTTTAATAAATTTGCAAAAATTTCTACATTTCTGTTTTTTTCTGTCAAGATGGGGTGCTGAGTGTACATTAATGAGAAATAAAATGAACTTTTTTGATTTTAGCAAATGGCTGCAATGAAACAAAGAGTGAAAAATTTAAAGGGGTCTGAATACTTTCCGTACCCACTGTACATAATATAACTCAGGTCACCTTCCATGGAGTCCGCCATCTTTCTACAGAAGCCCTTTTTTGAGTTTTTCGCTTGTTTCTCATCCGCCGTACTTTCTCCCACACCCTTCACAGCCCGTTCTCATTCCCAGGTTGTCGGATACAGACACCAGCTGTATTCAGTTAGTTGCAATCTGCAACTTCACCACTAGATGCCACTAACTCCCACACACTGGCAGTGGTGTCTGGAGAAGTGGGTTTATTCTTATTTTATGCCCCATTTTCTTTCTCCTAAAATTGCCGTCGAGCAAAGGATAAATGCTGTGTGTTATAAACGGTGCTAACCCAAAAATGTTCTTCCGCAAAAGCAAAAGGCCCAAACTAGAGCCAGTGTTTGGTTTGTCCATTCCAGGCTTTTGTAGAAAACATGGCGGCTGCACATGGTGTCTGTAAATGAATCCGTCTCATTCTAAGATAACGGAAACTACCTGGCGCTGTCAGACTGACCTGTGGAGTTTAGTGGAGGCTGGCCGTGGTCTTTAGCCATGGCTGTCAGCACCAGCGTGGTGTCCTCTGTGACATTAGCAAGGTCAGAGGTCAAGGTCACGTCCCCGGTCTCACTGTTTAAGGCCAAATATGGAGAACTTCCTGCAGAGAAACTTGAACACAGAGAGAGAGAAAAAATAAATATTTGAGTATGAAAATGAGGTGAATCACATGCTATGGCTTTCACAGTCACCAGATCTCAACCCAGTTTAACACCTGTGGGAGATTTTAGACCAACACCATCATCAAAAACACCAAATATGTTCTGGTAGGATAGAGATCATCTCTCCGGTAGAGTTTCAGAGAAGCTGTTCTGTTCGTTTTTCCTTTAATTCGTCACCTGTCAGTATTTTATTTCTCAAGCTACTTAAGAACAAATCTGTTAGGCGCCCTGACAGCTCACCTGGTAGAGCTGGTACCCCAGGTAACAATAAGGGGTCATTACTGCAGCGGTTCTCTCTCACCCTCCCCTTTCCTGTCATCCTCCAGCTGTCTCGATCAATTCAAGATGAGACAAAAATGTATATTTAAAAGAAATCTGTTGGTACGAGTGGTTCTTTCACAAGGTCCAAGGTGCACTGTGCGCAGCAATGCTGTGTAGATGACCTTACAGTCAGCTGCTGACGGCATCCTGGGCTGCACTGACCTGTAGGTGATGAGCGAGTTGTTCCCGGCGTCTCTGTCGGTGGCCGCCAGCGTCAGCAGCAGCTTCCCCTTCGCTGCGTCTTTCAGCAGGATGCTGCTGACGTAGCTGCTGGAGCTGAACTCAGGCGTGTTGTCGTTGACGTCGGTGAGGCTCACTCTGATGGTGGTGACGTTCTGGTGCACAAGAGTATGCATTTAAAACTTTATGATGTTGGTTAACCTTTTATAAGTAGCTTAATGATCTGATCCTACTGCAAGAATTTAAATGTTAAAGCTCCGTGTAACTGAGACATGTGTGATGTTTGCTTTCCCAACTGCTGAGCTGTCTCAGCCTGGTTGCCCTCGGGAAAGAGATTTTTAATCTCAAGGGACTTCAATGGTTAAATAAAGGTTAAATAAACAATATAAACGATATATAGTGCAGAACATACAGGGTACTTGTTAAGAAACAACATATATGGAGGGTTGTAGATGTACGTGTGTAAGTTTATAATTTAATAAAAAAGGAATAAATGTGTACTTCCTCCTTTCATGTCAGATTGAATGTTTTGTCGTTTATTAGGATTTATTCATTAAGTTTGTGTATATGTTTGTCTTTTTTTCTTTTACCTGGTCTCGGTCGGTGACGATGGCTTTGAACACAACAGCATCAACAGGAGAATTTACCAGAAGTGTTACAGAGTATTCGGGCTGGTCAAACTCTGGAGCATTATCATTCACATCCTCAACAGTGACAGACACCACAGCAACAGCCGTCTTCAAACTGTCATCTGTCTGGGCCACCTGACGAGAGAAAACATGAATCACTTTTTAAGCAACATCTTTTTTGTGTTGTATACCGAACTGTGCGCACTCGTTCTGTAAAAATTCAGATTTTATGCAATGTTTGATGGGCTGTGTGAAAACCTGGAAATTTACTAGTTTTCTAGTCATGGAAACACCTGGAAATTGATTAAAAAGACCAAATATCCTGGAAATAATCTATGTTGTCCAGGAACATTTTTATTGTATTTTAGACCTTTCACTCAGATCACTTACTGTATGTAACCCTAGATGCGTATTTAGTTTGAAACTCAACTGTTAGCTGTGCAGTATTACACCTAAAAGCTTACTAAATGAACATCATGCTGTATTGAAGAAGACTTGAAACTAGAAATTGAGAACATAAAACTCATTAGGAAACTGTTTTCTGAGCTCATAAATCAAGCCATTTTCAAATTAGGTTGCATACTAACTCAGTTCTTTTTGGAACCAATAAAGTTGCCCCCCTGCTGGCCATTAGACAAATACTTCTGCCTCACTTCCCAGACCTGGAAGCTTGGTCCACAAATTATATACCGTGATCGTATATTCAAATGCCAGTACCATGATGTTGATAGAGATCGCACTGTTGTTCATGTCCTCTCTGTCTATGGCAGTCGCCACAGTCAGAACTCCACTGCTGGAGTCGATGTTGAAGTTTGTCCGGTACTTGTCTGGAGACACTAAACAAAGACAATGTTCAAAATTATATATATTATGTGTTTAAGTGTTTTACTTTAAATGTCTGATGTGAATTTGAAGCTTTAATTTCTTGTTGTTTACCTGCACTGATGCTGTAAATTAAAGTCATGTTAATCCCGCTGTCTCCGTCCTGAGCCTTTATCGCCTCAGGCTCGATGGCCCGGAAAGACCCAACCTGAAATATATAGTATACAATATTGATATTAGCCAAAAAAAGACAATAAGATATAGCTTTATAAGACCCAGCAATTCATATCTGTGGGCAGGGGCGGAGCCAGACAAGACAAAAAAAACCCTGTAATCTACCAGAAAGCTTAGAAATGCTTCACAACACTTTTGACTGTGTTTAATAGATGCTTTATAAAGTGTTGGTTGGCATTACCTGTGAGAGAAATGATGTGATGATTAGGTTTAAAAGTCTCACCTCATTCTCTGGAATAAAGGCCCGGTACACGCTGTGGCTGAAATAGGGATTCAGGTTGTCAAAGTCCACTATGTTAATCACCACAGTGGCCGTGTCATTTAGTCCGTGGTTGTCCTGTAGTGAACAAAGCACAGACAACTTATTCATGTCCATCACCAGTTAATTATGTTTTTATGTCTCAAAATAATTCTGTATTTAGTAGATGGTGTGTGTCAGTATTTTCACCTACCCTGGCCATCACAATGAAGTTGAAGTTTTTGACTACATTGTAGTTCAGTCGTCTCTTCAAAATAAAAGCCCCTGAGTTGGTCAGCATAAAGTACTCTAAAGCTGGCGCCTTTGGGAAGAAAGTTACCGTCACATTTCCATACAGAATATTGTTACTCATCATAACACATGTGGAAGCCCAGAGATCATCTTAATCTCAAAGTAAAGCTATCTGTGGTCCAAATCCAAGTACAACTGTGATTGTTAAAAATTATTTGAAAAAAATACATAATACAGACAGAATTGTATAAATCCCTAAACAGGAAACAATCTGCTCGAACTCACCCGTTTTACAAAAACTTCCTTCAGTTACTGAGTTCACTGTTTGGGTTTGTTGTACAGTTTTGAATATAAAATGAAATATCCATAAAATATGTAACTGAGTCAGTTTACTGAATGATAGAAAAGTGGTTTCTTAAGGAAAAAGGTTGGGATTATTTCCTGTAAATTTGGAATCATACAATCCCAATTTTAAAGCTAAAATAAACATCTTTGGTTTATTTTCAGACATGAGTGTTTGTCTTATTACAATATTTCAATTTGCTTGTATTTAATACAGTTATTCATTGATTGTCAGATTTGGATTTGACAGGATTTAAACAAATTACATATGAGCAACTACGCCCACTCTCAGCTTCCACAACGCAGTGACAAGCAACATAGATGTATGTCAACTACAAAAATTGCCAAATAAGGGTAGATGATATTACAAAGGAATATGTGAGCTGGTTGTTTTCTGGGGTGCTGTCTCCATCCACCGCTGTCACTCGGAGGACCTCGCTGTCCACACTTACTGCCTGAAGGAAGAAAATGCTGAATGATGTACACCAACACATGCAAATGAATATACGTGTGCATGTTCTGTCAATTGAACATCTAAATACAATATCTGTTATCACATTTACTGTGTCTTCTCAAACTAATTCCACCCTAGTTTACAGCTTGTAGTCAGATAAACCAGCCAGAAGTTCTGTTCTGTTAGTTCTGATTATTTTTTTTCTGTCAGCTGAACATCTTAACACGTCAATAGAAGCATGTAATGCAGGTCTGCAGTTCCTTTCTCATAGAAATCAGTGACTTACCTCTGAGACGTTGGTGCTGTAGACCTTCTGTGAGAATACCGGGCTGTGGTCATTGAGGTCGTTGATTTTCAGCGTCCGAGTGTTATTGTGCTGCAAAAGTTAAAAAAACACCATTTGAAATATTTTGTTTTGTAATGTTACTGAATATTACAACATTTACATGACTTTTACCTACCTTAATTGGGCCGTCACACATGACAGAGTAATACAAGGTGCGGTCAGACTGTAAGACATGAACACAGTGGATTTTTGGGTCTGTAGAGATGACTTAAAGGTGACGTGTTCAAAGACAACAAAATCATTTTACACTAAGAAGACTTTGGAAGATACCCACTAACTCATCAGCTGAACTTGCTGAAATGCATTTTTGTACAGAAAATTGTACAGTAAAAAGTATTACTGTTGCACATTAATTTCTAGGAGATGGAGTTGATGGAGCTCTAACCCCTATCAGTGCTTCTGCGTCCAGTGGCTTTTTAGTGCGAACAGTTGCGGTGGTGGCTCCAAGCGTGAAGCTCAGCTCCAGAAACTCCAGGTGGGTGGGGAAGATGTAGGGAACCAGCTTCACATTGCTTCCTGAAGTGATCCCATTCACCAACTCCACATCCCCTGCAGCAGCAAGGAGAAGGACTAGATAAACATGTCATCTGTTTTTTCTTCACAATTTAAATCAATAAATCATACATCTCACTAATATAAAAACAATGCTTATTATAAAGAAATGCTTAATCTTTGGCAAATACATGAGGAGAATGTATTCTGAAGTCACTTCATAATTTACACTGTATTATTTATTAACAACTTTTTAATAGAAAACAAAATATTGGTGTCAGTTTCAGTTTATATATTAGCAAATCTGGCCAATCTTGATTGATGATTTTGGCTCCCAATTAAATCTAAAACCTTATTATATATTATTATAACCAATTACTGGGCTTCATCAAAACGTTTAGCTGTGTTTTGGAAATCTACTTAAAATATAATAATATGTCTTTTCAGGGTTCTCAGTCTGACTATTGAACTGCTGATAAGGGTGTTCGACCTTGGCACCACTTCTTTTTTCCATTTTTACTAATTATTTACCTCAAATATGTTCAAATGATTCTGTTAGTCTTTATGCTGATGACACGGTTATTTACTCTGATATATCTTAAATCCCAATTCTTTACAGTCTGATTTTAGCTTGATCCATAACAACAAATTTGTGTTTTTTGACTTTAATCTACTTTGGAAATATTCTATTCAAAATGCTGTATCTCACTTACCTGTGTAGCCTTCATCCACTGCTCCCAAATCTTTATTACTATCGGCAGCACAATTTATGTCAGTACCTAGAGTAACAGAAATAATACAAGTTAATAAAGACAGATATAATATGTTCACTCAAATTATTAAAAAAGCCAGTGTTGGGCATTAAGGCAACGTTACATTAATAATATTTCTTTTGAGGGAGAAAGGACGTTATTACCAATTTTGTGGGGTGTAGCAGAAAAGTAATATAAATAGTGGTGTAACTAATTACTGTTGGCAGGGAGTATGAAGTAACTTTATAAAAGTGATGATAGCAAAATGCTAACTAGCTAATCTAAATCAATTGTTGCATGCTAGTTAGATAGCATTTTGCTAACATTTGCTAACTCATGATGTGTTTATACCCATGTCACTTATATAGTCTCCAAGCAATATCTGTCATCTTCAAACGTTTTCTTGTAGCATATCTAAGTACAGGAAGCCAATTTCTTTCCAGAGGGTGGCGAAGTCATGACCCGCCCTACTCTCCCTCTGATTGGCTGGTACTCACTGCCTATGATGGTTTGGTTGGTAATTACATTTAAACAATCTCAACAGCAACAGATTTCCTGAAACAGTGCACAATTTACTTTTTTTATATTTACTAG